CGTCAGCCACTTTGAAAAGCTTTCGGTTTATTATTCAAAACGTATCTAATCTATATAGCATATTTTATGTACTTTTTATGGTAGAAGACGACAGTCAAGTCAAGGTTCACTTAATGGTAGGTTAAATACCATAGACAATATCTAAACATGATGCTTTGTAGATTTCAGCTTCGGGTATTCGGAAATCCACAGACTGAAACTATAACACGATTCAACTTTAAGGGTTTTCTTTATCTGTAAACGGTGTTGCGTGACCCGGACGGTATTTCCGATATTCCTAGGACTCATTTAATATTCAGATTTCAAGAAATCATAAATTGATTAAAAAATGATGAACTCGATGACGATAAAACCCAACTAAATCGACCCGATGAATATTAGTTTTAGATTATGCTACTATTTCATCAAAGAGACCGTCAAATCAAATATTATTTAATACTAAGTCATTGAAACATAAGAAATCTAAAAGAAAACTATTTGTCTTTACTTTATTTTAGACCAACACATTACATAATGTTATTGTTTTATAATCGTGCTGTAATAACTGTAATATACTATTTAGCAGACTCGTTACAACAGCAGCTTCTAGCCACAGTTCGTGGTTACGACATTAGGTCCCTATTTTAGATCGTAACTGGATCAAGGTTCGTTCCAAAAGTACTTAATTTGACACTAAACGCTACTAAAATACAAATGTTACTCATCAAGATGTAATTTTTACGGTCTTTAATCAGGTTATAGCTGACATAAAGATTGTTTAGTCATCTCTTTTAATTGATGTTTGGCACCGTGTTTTAATTATTGTTCTTCATATGAATATTAACATGTTATAAATATTCATGTCTGACGTTTGACATTTCGGAAGTAATGATGTGCTAAAAACATTATTGTTATATCTGTGGATTTACTTGCAGTTACTTAATTATTATCTGTAGTTTCCGCGATCGGTGCAAATTAGATTTAGAGAGACATTCAGATTATTAAAATCTAAAATAGGTCTTAGGTCGTACTGGCTGGGTTGATTTTCATGCTTGCTTGTCCTCGTCTATGAAAAAAATACAACTTTTAACGGTTTTAAAACGCAAAATATAGACTCTCTAACCCTTCAACTAAAATACTATACTAGCTAATTCTTTGGATCCAAATAGGAATTCTGTACAAGCAAAATATTACAATAAGTAATATGAACGTGTATACTTACGAGACACATAATAAGCTCATATTAATTAATGACTTTGTCTGCCTTCATCTTAAGGTTACTTAAATAATTAAAGTGTTTAAAATAATCCCTTCGGTCTCAGTTAAAAATAAACGCATTTAAACCGTTAAAAATGTTTGATTAAATGTGTACTACACGGGTTAACAGATAGTCTAGAATATTGTTAAAATAATTAAGCACGAAGCCAGGTTTTCAATTGCTTTTCAATCAAGAATATAATTTGGCCACGATATTGACATTGAAGGTTATTGTGTTGCTTGAGTACGCACGGTTAAGTGCAAGGTCTATTTTTATAGTCTATTTCGATTATTCGTAGTTTTTCCCTCAGTAATTGGCCTTCAAGTAAAACAGTATTCGTTTTAGAGGTTATCTTTTGTTTTACGTCTTTAATGAGTAAGTAGCTAGGTTAGGTTTTTTTATGATACAGGATAGACAAGCAGCGGGTTCACTTCATGAATATGAATATCCCGGCTATATAACATCTGTTGACAGTAGTTCTTTAGCCTGGATTGAAAATAGCTTACATATTGGTTAATGTGGTCGGCGTATACGCATATATGTATAATATGAACATAAGTGTGCGTTATGTCTAGTGAAAGTGGCCGGTCAACTGATTCCTCAGAAGAAATTGTTTTACTCGTTGTTGGTCTTTCTCTTTAGCGCCACAACAGAAAGAGACCGAGTATAGAGATGGGACTTCTCTGTTCGCAAGTTCCGAAAAGGTTGTTCCGGATTATGTAACACATCGAGAAACTGTGTGATAAATTTGTGACCTTATGGCTGACTTCTTTTATTGGTTTTTACTCCTTTTCGATATTATATTAGAAATTTAGATAGTAAAAAGCAATGTACTGAATAATTTAAGCGCGGCGTTAAAGAATCGAATCCTGGGTAGACATAATATTTTCAGTCAAGTCAAGAAGTCAGGATCAGCTTGTAAACAAAGGTGATCAAATAGACATGTCTGTTCCATGTCTCTTAAACAGGAACCGGGATTTCCAATATTCAAAATCTATATTTTTTACCGCTATTTTTTTATGTTATTTAAAAAAAGCAATAAAACACATATAAAGTTCAACGAGCAAGCTTATTATCACTGAACAGTCTCTTCCGTGCTTCTCATTGTTATGGATAAGTAGCTGTGTCCGCGACATCGTTATTTTGGGCATCAACATTTATTTTTGCGAACCTCCTCTACATCTTTATAAAATAGAGCTTTTTCCCACGACGGTCGCGTCTTGTCGGTCTTGCAAGTTAATCTTAAAAGATAGACGTATAGTGTCGCGGACGTTTTTTTAGATCGTCTAAAGAGAAATCATTCTTTGATACATATTTTTTTGGGTATTTTGAATCTTCGCAGCGCACGCATCGGAAACACAAAGAATATATTCAATATTTCCCGGTTTTCGCCACATTTCCTACTATATCTTGATAAATGCAAATGTTGGTTCCTGAGATTAGCACGTTCAAACATAAACAAGCATTATATATTAATTATAGCTTAAATTCTCATAAAACTATAATAGTTCTAATGCAACTAATATTTAATGAAAATAAGCTTGAGCTTTTAAATTATAATATGAATTCGTGGAATAAAATATGTTGTGTAGCAGTCATCATCAGCGTGATGTAGATAATGTCTTATGATATTTTCGTGCTAGGCCACGACCTAAAATCTTTTAACTCAACCTTCAGAGACCCGAGTAATTTAGATACACGCCGTTATAAAAACAAATAACGAAGCCCTAAAATTATTAGTTAAATGTTGTATCTTGTACCGGACTTGCGCAAGAGTTCGAAATAAAGTCGAATGTTCAATCTTGCGAAAGTTTCGACGTCACAGGTAGCCTCGAATTAACACGTGCTACAGATATTGTAAAAGCTTAGTTTATCAATACGAGAACTGTTATTGTTATTTATATTTGTAATAATAATCAACGAAACAGCAAACAGACTTATAGAGCGATCTTAAATTAAATGGTAAACTTTGAATGATGTTCAAAAAGTACTCAGTAACTATACTTCGTTCGAATAGTAGTAGGCGTTGTAGTAATGAAAAGTTTAGGATACTGAATTCCGATAAAGCCACTTGGCAGTATGTAAAAATCTATGTTGGGGAAATCGATTTCAGCTAAAGTAACTCGCTCACATAATAATGTTGAAAACTCATCAAGCGTTAAAAATATTGTTGACACCTTTTAATGTACCTTTTGTTTTTTTATACTTCGCTCGGGTTACTATAGGATTTAAGAGCTTAATACCACCATACTTTTGCTTATTAGCGGTCTTTAACGACTCGCCACTAAATGGGTGATGGTAGCCTAGACCAATAGTTAAACGTTCCACGCCTCATGTTTCCCAAGTCTGGGAGCTTTGTGTCTGCAGGCAGTGCAATGTTAGAACCATAAAGCAGTTTTGACTGGACGCGTGGATGTAATGGATTTATGGCTAATAACCAACGGGTCGAGGGTTCGATCCCCATGAGGTCTATCATTTTTCTATTCAATTTTCTTAAACTCGTTGGACTTCTGCAAATCTGGATATTTAATGGGGGTTAGGAACATCGAAATACCGTTCGGGTCACGAACCCCCGCACAGATGAAAGAAACATCTAGTTTAACCGCGTTTTGGTTCAGTCCGAATATCGATACTCAAAATAGGTCGCACATCTTGTTTAGATGTTGATATGGCTCGGTTATATCACCTATCATCAAGTGGACCATATTCGTCTGTCCTCCTCTATCATCAAAAAAGAATAAGTTTTTATTGAAATTGGAATAAGCGAACGTCTTCATAAAGTAGTGCTAAAATAGCTGACCGGACTTTCATATCTACTCGCCAAGTCTGCATCTGTTTCTAATATTAAAAAGCGTAATTTGCATGGTCCGAATAAAATAGTCATTAATTATATGTCGAAGATAAGTTTCGATCCGTGCAACATAAATAAATATTCAAGATAGACGTAATGGGGAATCTTCAATCTACGCTTCGAACCACTGACTCATTTGTATAAAGTTAAATTCCCAAGAAAAGTAAGCACTCGCTTTGGGATGAATAATGAAATATACGACTCGTTCTCTTGTTTACGTCGTATTTTTGTCCAAAAAGAGTGTCATGTTTGCAAAACATTTCTGTGAAATCGAACAGAGAACATTTTAAGAGTCACTAAACTGGTTATTATATATTGCTCGTGACTTCGTCTCCATAAAATACTAATATTAAGCTAACTGCAACTCTTTGACTGCGACTTCAAAGCCTATATGTTGCTTCAACATACCTGACTTACTTATGAAAATAATCGTTACCACTAAGATTATCAAACTTTGAAATCTTTTTCCATTTAAATAAAACACCTGTAACTGCTTAATACTCGAAATATAGTAGTTATCTTGTTTACAAATTATTTTAACTACCTCTTTTTAGTTTAACTATCTATTTTCCCATTTTAAATCACACTTTTATAATTCTATAGCTTTATTAAATAGGCTTTAATCTTACTAGGACCGCCTCAGACACGATATCTTTTATTATTAAATTATGAAAAATATACCATCAGTGTATATTTTTAATGCCCCCAATACCTATCATCAATGCCTAATCCTTCTCCAATCTTGTCTTATTAAAAATAATAGTTCAGTGCAAGTCCGCTATATAATGAATCTACACGCCCCGGAGTCCCACCATCTAACACAGCATATTTAGCCCAACAATCAGCTTCCTCATTAGCCCCAATGCCAACGTGTGATGGTATCCACTGAATTAAAGGTTGGTTTTATTTCAGGTACTGGTACCTTCGGCCGTGTCTGCCTCTGTCGAGACAAAGCAGCAGATGAATATCTAGCAATGAAGATTCTGTCGATGGCTGATGTCATACGCTTGAAGCAGGTCGACCACGTCATGAACGAAAAGAATATTTTGTCGGAGATCAATCACCCTTTCATCGTTAATCTGTAAGTGCTTTTAAATGTTTCACCATTAAGTATGATGCTTGTGCATGCGAATAGTACACATTTAATTAAAACACTTTTAACGGTTCCAAAAGTAAATAGGATTCATTGAAATAAATTTAAAATAAGTTGATTGATATAGTGCGCGAAGTAAAACGTTACAAGTGTTTTATTTACATCAGAATTAATAATACAACGTGATATCTGATTTAAAAAAAAAATCATCTCGGGCAGGACTTGAACCGGCATCGTCAGCGTTTTTAGTAAGCCACCGAGTCTTTGCTCTACTCTACTCTACTGTATATTTTTCTACTCGCTAGTGTGTTTCAAATTATATGGATAATTTTGCCATCGTTCTACATAATTATAATATTCGCGTATCGACTTTCACATGAAAGTAAAATAATTTATGAGTTAGGTCTTCCGCGAGATTGGAAACTTTTTAATTAAGGTATAACTACGTAATATTAAACATAATAATATATAAAACATATATTCATTAAAATGCTTACTGGTACCTAAGTAATTGGTAAGGACTGAGTAACTAAGTAACTAAGTACTGACTGAGTAAAAAAAACTCTAAAAAAACCAAACTACCCACAAAAACCTTATTCTATACTAAACGAATTAATGCATCTAGCATACCTAGTAACTACGCAACTAATACTGTATACTTTTGACTTGGCTCATTGAAAGTACTTAACAGTTTTATGTATTTATAATTTGTACTAGCGCGTAATGGTCTTCTTAAAATAAACTTTATTCTTTTCTCTTGCCGTAACACACGAATTACTTGCCAAGTGTTTACTGTTTGCTATTGTACTCGGGTAATTATGGATCAAAGATTAAAAAACAAGGATAGCTTACAACTAGAGTTATAGTTTACAATTAAGAAAAAAAAAGGTTCCGTCGACATATAAAAACTTTTTAATTCTAAAATTTAGACTAGTCTGCTTTTAGATAGCTAAACCAATCTAAATGATAATAAACTAGGTCATCCACAACCGTTGTTTTGTTGGTTGCAAGATTCATACTTTGATACAACTCAAACAAATAATTGGTAATGATGCATTAATTTTGATCAAATTTGATAAGCAGAAAAACGGTACTTGTAAGTTAATCGTAAAATATTGACATATACGGCTATGGACATTTTTTAGATCGTTTTACAGAGGAATCATAATGTCATACATCCTTACTAATGTGAACAATGAAACTTTCTTCTTTGACTTTTTGGGAATAAGAGTGGGAGTGGGAGTGGGAATGAGAGTGGGAGTTAGAGTAGGAGTGATGTGAGGTGAGAGTGTTGCGGCAAAGTGGCATTTACAACATAGATTGGCTGCGATAGATGCGCAATTACATAAATTAATAAACAGCCTAAATAATTAAAAATTCTACCCCAAGTCACTATTTCACGCGAACGAAGTCGCGGGCACAGCTAGTATATCTATATACAAGAAGCTGAAAATGCTTGAACAGTTTCGTTGAACGGAAGCCCACAAGATCAATAAATTTCCTTGTCTTTTTAATTTCTTCTCTCCTATTTGACGCAGCGTTCTCTGTATAAATGATCTATTTAATGCAAAAACCATTTTCAATTCGAAACAGTAGTTCCTGAGATTAGCGCGTTTAAACAAACAAACAGACTGTTCAGCATAGATTTAAATTACACAGCGTATTTTATTTCAAACTGTAAATACATTGTTTTAGACGATGGTGGACCCACGATGACTGCTGTATCTACATGCTCTTCGACTACGTGTGTGGTGGCGAGCTTTTCTCCTACTTAAGAAACGCTGGCAGATTTAGTAACAATATTGGTAAGTACTTAATACAAATATGAAGCTTTTAAATAAATACTTTAACGGCTTAAAACGCGATATATATCGCTGTGTTGTTTAACTAAAATATATCGCGGCCGTGCTTACGAGTCACCCCGTGACCACGGCAGCTGCAATTAAAAAGTGCATTTTGGTTGTTACTAGTTCATTATATCACGCGTTTTCGCTGTCAAAGATTAGGGAGCTTTTTTGATGTGTATGTGTACCCTATATTAATTTCTTGAAATATTTATACCTTCTTTCCTAAATAAAAAGGTTAATTGATATATGTTTGTATGTTGTTTTAACGGTTGACAGCCGATCATTAGCATTAAGATTATTTACGTACACGCAGACGATGAACACGTAGAGTAGAACAGCTCTTCACAGCGTTCTGCACCCTGTGATTTAGGAAAACAAGCACTATTAATCTGGAGATATACGCAAGAGCTTATTTCTGGAGGAAAGGACATGTTGAGAACAAAAATAGTCGGTCAATGACGCGGTTGTCTGTAAATGCTGGCTCGCGTTGAAAACTGAGACTTCTGACACGTAAGATCTCGCTGATACACTGAAGTGGAACAATACTGAGAGACATATATTTCGCTTGTCGGGCAATAAAATTGTGGCCGCGTGATTAGGTGGCGAAAGCGGCAGACGCTGTGACGCCTTGTGCAGATCTGCGCATGCGCAGCGCGCCCTGGGTTATCCCGTTGACACACTTTTTTGTTTATAAAATGGAAATTTACTTTATTTACCGTGCCCTCGATAATTTACTTTTGAGTTCTGAACTGGGTGCCAAAAAAATAATACCGCGGCTTCATCCTACTAACGTTGATGTGTCTGTGTGTTCCAATTTTACGCAATCCCGACGCCAATATAAATAAAATCGATGTTGTTATTACTGTTTAAAAGCATATGTTATAAGCTGCATAAGTAAATAATCTTGCAATTTTACTAATTATAAATTACTCCGGATGTTTTCCCCGGTTTAAACATTAAACATGGATAGAGAAATGCTAGTGGAGTTTATAGGAATCACTTTTCAATTAATCCAGCTGTTAATCTTCCAAATTTATTTCGAGAGGATGTAGGCTTCCATTTATCATACCTCGAAAGATCGGTGATATCATATCCAGTCACTTCCATAACTGACGTAGTTATCACCTACGCGACTGACTCATGTTTGATAAGTCATTTAAGCAATCTCAAAACAAAAAGTTTCATCTTGGATAGTGTTATTTGAATTTGTTATGTCTTTGTTACAGTCATGAGTACGCTTGCTAGGTTATAAGTGTACTTGGTAAAATTATACTAAGTTTTGAGAAGCTTGGTTAAATGTAGTGTTTCACGTCATTAACATGAGAGAAAACATTTTTTTCTCATGTTAATGACGTGAAACACTAAATGATGGTATAGAATAGCAGAACATTTAGTCGTGGGTTCGAGTAGCACCGGTATTATATTTTTTAAAATCTAAAATCCTGTTGCTTCTATCTGTGTAGCAGAGTAAGAATGATTTAAAGATTCTTTGTCCGTTACATTTTTTTATAGCTTATACTGAAAAACACTAAAACTAAAGATTAAAATAATAATAATAGTTACAATAGATTTAAAATGCAAAATATAAGTTGGTGAAACCGCGGCTACTATATAGCATCCGAAACCTCGGGCCGTCGCGGTCGGAAATTTTAACTAACACTAAGCCAACTAATAATAAATATGTCATGTTTTAAACAGTTGAATGTGTACTACTCGCGTAATCTATAGACAATATTCAAATAGAGACATTTTCATAACAAAAAAAAATTTTAGACTTTGTAGAAATTGGATACTTGTTCCATCTACATAGAGACTATTCACCAATATAATATATCACATAATACATACAGTTTCCACCTAGCTAATTTTCAAATGTATATTTTGCTTCTCTTTTATATTCACTCTGATAAAATTAACTTTCTTTACATTTGGCAGCGACTACTAATGTTCTTAAAATTGTGTAATTGATATTGCTTGTGCACTAGCGAGCTAAAAGAAATATTTTTCTTCAAGATTAGTATTGCGATAGTATTAGTATTAGCATTTAGAATAGTCATTGTGCGATTTAAATAATACTAAACTCAGGTTTATTATTATTATGATTTTTCTTACATTTTAGTGAGCCTGAAAGAGATTGCTAGTTAACGATAAGGCCACCAATGGCACCGGTTTATATTATATCATGTTGTGTATTGTGTACAAGAGAGAAGTAGCTAAATAAATAATTAAAAAGATTGGAGCCGATGGTTTTAGCAATCATCCGAAAAGTCGGGTCGTACTTTGCATTTAGAACCGTTATTTTATTTAGCACGTACTCGCGTTAATTATAAACTTAAATTAAAGGAAATTTGCTTTATTCCAGCAAACTTTTACGCAGCGGAAATCGTCTCAGCATTAGAATATCTCCACGCGCGCAATATTGTGTACAGAGATTTGAAGCCGGAGAATTTATTGTTGGCAAAAGAGGGCCACTTGAAGATTACAGACTTTGGCTTCGCAAAGAAACTTACTGACCGCACTTGGACCCTTTGCGGTACGCCAGAGTATCTGGCCCCCGAAATTATACAGAGTAAAGGACATAATAAGGCGGTGGATTGGTGGGCTTTAGGTGAGTGAGCTATTCCAATTCTTATACAATAAATACGCGTTTTAAATCCCAACTATAGAAGGTAATAATTAAAGGTTTGACCTTTTTTTTCACGAATTACATCAATATCGTCATTTTTGAAAGGTACTAGAGACTCTATAGACTACCACTTAGGTTAAAATCAGAATAACGTCTATGTGGGGCGATTTGACGTGTGTAAAATAGAAAACAAATCTACGATTAATTGCGCAGTCATTGAGTGCACGTTTCGAGGACTATATTTTTGACTAATTCTATAAAATACGCCTAAGCATAAACGCGAAATATCTTAGTTAAACTTGTTTACAAATAATTTTTAACTACGGCTCGACTATAATTTGTAAACAACAACACAACAAAGAGGTCTCTATGAATTAAGGGACATTTTGATTCAGAATTAGTCAGAAATATAGTCCTCGAAACGTGTACTGAATGACTGCGCAGCTAATCCTACATTTGTTTTCGATTTTACACACGTCAAATCGTCGCAACTAGTGTTGTTTACGTTATAATTATTTCATGTTCCAATGATATATGTCTCTGTGGCAGCCCCACTGTTTTGATGCCAAAGCGTTATAATTTATAGTTTACAGCCCCATCTGTGCTTGTAACTTTAATCCTTGGCAGAAGTACTATAGAGAGTATGCGACATGTGTTATTGTCTAGACTAGGTGTAGAATAGTTATTTGAAGAAATCTTGAAGACAGTTTAACGTTATTATTTATTCAATTTTTTGAATATATAGTACGTAAAATTGTAAACTATGTTTGTGCAAATCACATGACAATATTTTAAAACACTAGAAAGAACTAGACTTTGTCATGACGAATAGATATGATGGGATACCTAAAAAGTTGTCAAACATCTTATTGTTTAATAATCCAGCTTTATAGTGGAGTTGCTTGAACCCGTTTGCCGATTCCGCTTTAACCCTGTTTTTAGCTTTTAACCAGCCGTGCTCGTAAGTAAGCTAAAGTTAGCCAATTAAGTAATATTTTTCGCGTTTTAAGCTGTTAAATTATCGTCAATTCGAGGCAAACCTAAATTTAATTGTATGCGTATAATTATTGAATTCTGAACACAATAAAACAAATATATATGACATATTATCTATTATATATAAATATATATTTTTATTTCATTTCCAGGTGTACTTATATACGAGATGCTAGTCGGTTATCCTCCGTTCTACGACGACAACCCATTCGGAATATATGAGAAGATCCTCAATGGCAGAGTTGACTGGCCGCGCCACCTCGACCCGGTTGCCAAGGACATTATAAAGAAGCTCTTGGTGCAGGACAGGACGAAGAGACTCGGAAACATGAAGGTACACTTTTATTTATATTCCACGGAAATTGGCACACGATAATGATATTGTTCTTCGCGCGTATAATTTGCGTATCTTTTGCGCGCTTATAAACAAATAAACATTGTCATGCGCAATTCAAAACAGACACTGTATGATCATATGAACAAAACAATTTTCACAGATAGACACCATTAAATTATACATTTTTAATTTAATTAGTTTCAATGTTATTTTAAGATTATGGGTAAATATATTAATATCTAATATATATAATTCTCGTGTCACGGTGTTCGAACTTGAACTCCTCCGAAACGGCTCGACCGATTTTCACCAAATTTCATATGTGTATTCAATAGGTCTGAGAATAGGACAACATCTATTTTTCATCCCCCTAAGTGATAAGGGTGGTTCACCCTTAATTTTTTTTTTAATTTTTGAACAAAATTTTTAATTTCAATTTTTTTATGATACAACATACAATAATACATACAATCCTCAACAAATCAACCCTTATTTTTAATAGACATTGTAGTAAAATTATTTAAATGGCAAAACAACGTTAGCCGGCTCAGCTAGTATATATATATATTTTACGATGGTAAGGTTATCAAAAACGGCCCAGTCGTTTGTTAGTGAAAGAGTGACAGTCCATATATATTCGCGTTTAGTAGTCACGTAGTTTAGACAGACCATTACAACGGTATTACAAAAGTAGCGTTTCCAAAAGTTTACTTCGAGTTTTTGTAGAAAAATTGCATATCGGACTTCACTTGGCTTCAATCCAATTGCTAATATATATCTAGATTTATATTACCAATCCTATTTACAACGGTTTATGTGAGTGGATTCGTATCTAGTAATTATTACAAATAGAAGAAATAATTATTAGGTTTATATGAATTGCTGCAAAGTGAAACATTTGTTTGGTCAGCTTACAATTGTTTTAGTTGCATAACGCGTCAAGATAACTTATTCCGGTTTAACTACAGCTTTGCTTGTTTAAATCATTTATTATTATTGCGGGAAAATACAGGACAAAGGAAAATTAAACAATATCTTTTAATATTTTACTTTGTAAAACCTGTGTACGACATGACACAAATGGATAAATCAAGTGTTAATTCGCGGTTTAGTTTCAAGTCCGTGAAACAAAAATACGTCTTAATTAGATATGACATTGCATCTTCCAGTGAATCGTCTGTTTAAATACTGTCTGTAGTTTACGCAAGTAGTACATATCTAAATAAAACACTTTAACGGTTTAAAACGCGATATATTTTTGTTAAACTTATTTGAAAAATTTTTTTAACTTCGGCCCGACATTTCGGATGCTTCGCAGCAGCCGTGGTCACGGGGAGACACCACCGTGACCACGGCTGCTGCAAAGCCTAATCCAAAAAGTCTATCTCCTTTGCTGTAATAACATCAAAATAAAATCTGTAATAGAACTTTTTTAAAAGCGCGCGATTTCTCATATTCCCTACATGACGTCGGCGATATGTAGTTTCTAGAGTGCGTTTTCACCTAGCTTTTTCTGCGATGTCGCCAAGATATTTAGAAAGCCATCAGTCAAGTGTCCATCGTTGATCGGCGACATCAAAGACTTTCAATAGGGCTTGATATATTATGCGATTACTATGTTCGTATCCTACTGCGATGTTAGTCAAAGCGTGTACTAGACCACCTAGGTTTTGAATGCATCTTTTATTTGTAAATAGTGGTTTTTTAAGTATTATTTTATTAATTAAAGCGTTTATTTAAGAATTTGCGAATATTCGTTTATTTATGACTTGTAATAAGTATGAGTAAAGCTGTATGACTATCTAATAAGAGAAAACGTGTTTAAATAAAACAGTTTAATATACCAAATATATTAGTTATCTTATATATTTCGCGTTCAAATGTCTACATACATTTGTACTACTTGCGTAAACTACAGACAGCTAAAATCTACACCTTCAGGCACAATACTGTGTCTGTTTTCACTCCACAGTTTTACTCACAGGGTATTGTAGTAGTGGTTGATGAATTTATTGTTTCCCCGGTCGAACCTAGAATTTCGCATAACGCAATAGGGAACGCGTTTAACCACTGTGCTGCGGAGACGTAGCGGTCGTGTATACTAACTGCAATAGTTATAAAGCGCTAAGCATTGTAGTCACTTATTAGCCAGTATTAGTGCTTGCACTTGAGGGTTTCGCGAAACCCGTTCAGATAATTAAATTTATTAAATTATGCTAATCAGACTCGCTCCATAATATTTTAACTTTACGATATCCATTTGCGTAGGTCGTCGTTTATGCCAATAATAATATTGCTCTAATTTTGGCCGACATCTATTTAGTGCTCTTCTGATTGATGTGTACAGTGTTTATCGATTCGTATCGTTCGAGATACTTTGATTTATCTGCGTGCGAGTTTTATGGTCGAAGTTCAATTTCGTCTTGTATAATACGATGATGTAGGAGGCGCGATTGTGTGGCGGTTTTATATGATTAGCAGTATTGTATGTCTTACTGAAAAACTCAAATTGAAATGTTATAATTTTTGAAAACTTTATTATTTTTTACATGTTATTGCACATGAAGGCACTATATAATTTACAAATCGAAAATAAATTGAAAAAATTTTCGATTTTTAAATTATGTAATAATTTCTATCAGTTTAATTTTGGTAAAGTGCAAAATATAATGACTTTTACTAATAACATCACGTATAGTTTACGTGAGTATACATTCCAAAACTTTGAACGAATTAAAACGCGGTATTAATCTTATTTATGTTTAAACAACCAACCGACGATTCGGCTGCATTATATCAGTTGTGTAAGTTTAAGTGTTTCATTTGTAATATTGTTAATTTTATATCTTTCCAGTGCGGTTCAGAAGATGTTAAGAGACATAGATGGTTCAAACACCTAGATTGGGCAGATGTCTACATGAAGAAGTTACAGGTAATTTTTTTAAGGAGGACAGACGAGCATCTGGTTAGCTTGGTAGTCGGTAATAACCCATCCATATAACATCTAAACAAGACGGGCTGTAGACCTGTTTTAGTTTTGGATACTTGCTTTTTCATCTGAGGACGGTGATTTGTGACCCGGACGGAATTTCGATATTCCTATCGCCCATTTGATATCCAGAAATCCAGAAAAAGTCCAACAAGTTTCAGAAAAGTTATAAATTGATTATAAAAATGTTACCCACGACATGTTGATTAGCCATACATGGTACCATTATATTAACGCGCCCGTAAAAATTATTAAAACAAATGAGTGAGTAAAACGTACTCACTGACACAGATGACACAGATTTATTCCGCAATATTTGTTAAGAAAAAGTTTTTTTAAATTAAAGTTTAATTATTGATATCAAGCATTTAGGTAACCGTCACCCATTACGAACTTCTCTTGCTATTTCTATTTGTAACTAACATTTATATTTTCAGCCTCCCATCGTGCCGTCGGTGTCTTACGAAGGCGACACTTCAAACTTCGACGAATACCCCGAAACCGACTGGAAGGCTGTCCGCTCTCTGGACCCAGACGAACTCAAGCTCTTCGTTAACTTCTGAAGCACTAAATTAATGAAATTGGTTCTGATTGCGATATCGTACGGAGATAGTGATTTTATGTAAATAATGTTTCTAGAGAGGTGATCACGGGAATCTTCCGAGAACCTTAGGTATTAAAAAAAAAACACTAACGGTTGAAAACGCGATACATATTAGTTAAACCTATTTTAAATTATTTTGACTAAAACCCGACGTTTCGGATGCAGTAGTCGTGTCTCCCCGTGACCACGGCTGCTGCAAATTGTAAGTACTACTCGCGTAAACTACAGACAGTATTTAACCTTAGACATGTCTACATTTTAAATACAAACAATGACATCTAGCTGTTAACAATTTGACATGCTTGTAAATGTATGTGTTAAAAATATTTGTTTCTAGTATTATGTTCTAGTATTTTCATTTTATTTTATCATCCTGATAGATTTAACATTACACGCTTTGTTAACCTGAATAGAATAGTTAACATTTTATATAATTGTCACTGTCCTAAACATTTATTTATAGAAAACAATAAGTATTATATAAGCGTAATTATATAATTCGCATAAAAATTTTATTTTAGATAAGTAGGCAATTATTAGTATTAAATTTAATTTATTAAAAACACATTGCGGTGAGTATTTAATTACTATTTATCCATTTTAATATATCGTATTAGTCGACTCGGTTCACTTAAGACATTTTAACGGTTTAAAACGCGACATATATTAGTTATACTTATCTACAAATCATTTTAACTACGGCCGGACGTTTCGGATGCTTTGCAGCAGACATGGCCACGGGGAGACAAAACAAATTGTAAATAAGTGTAACTAAAATATTTCACGTTTTAAACCGTTAATGTTTTATTTAAATTGTACTGCTACGATATGGTTACTTTCTGTTTTTTGTGAATTCTTGATTAAGTAGAGTAAATATGTCATTTCTTAGGTGAATTTCTTTATGCTATATCAAGCTAACATTTTTATTGTATTCTGAGTTTAATGTGCTTTTTCATGTTTATGAATCTACTATATGTAGTATATATACATATATAGATCTACAACTAGCAATAGCAGTTTTGTTAAGTATATATTTTTTCTTAGCCATTTTATCGGGACTGCTGTGATCTTATTAGTCAAATGAAAACTCTGTTTTTGTGTTTTTCAAAAGGAAAATTAATTATAATTTATTTGAATGCACGAAATAATAATCTGACAGGGTTTTCAGTGTAAGCATAATAATAATTAGGTATTACATGTACATAATTTTTTATACTAAGAACTTAAATAAATTTTCAAAAATATATTTCTTTCTTTGTTGTTCATGATTTCTGTAAAACTTCAAATGTCAATAAGGTCTCCTTTAGTTTATTTGATACCAGCAGGAACCGAATACACGATCAACGGCGTGTCAATTGAGCTAACCAGTTACTGCTTTGTTATCTAAGCAATATATAACACGTAAAAAATATAAGTAATTTAATAAGAAACTACGATTTCAAAAGTGACTCCATTTTGCTGACGCAATATAAAGATTGTTATTTCGATTCAGATATCTTAATGTTTGTTTATATATTTACACCTCGTGTGTAAAATGTACGATTTGATTTACGTTTTATAAGTTTTCAAAGTAGCGTATATTTAACGCTGATGCAAGTGTTTGAAAGGAGTCAATCAACGCGGGTATTTTTTCAGCGGTGCTAAAGATGCAGAGTTTATTTTCGTGTTGCAGACAGCGCGCCGCCTAGCAATAGATTTACGTGTTATTATATTGATAGATCTTGTATTTCAGCAATTCATAAGTTGGGGTTCATACGGGCTTATTGATCCAATGCTCTGGTTGTATCGCTAATAATGCTATGGGTTCAATTCCCATCGGGTCAATTTTTAAATAAATTTGTACATTTTTAGAAACGAAAATGAAATGGGTGGTAATTGTCGTAGGTATATCAAATTTCGTATGGGTCAAAAACTACCGTCCATAGATAATGGAATAGTGAAATTATAGCCTATCTGAATATCCAAAGTAAGCCGACAGCACATCTTGTTATATGACATTGTACATGATGTTATATGGCTACGGTATATTTCACCTTTCATTAATCGAACCTTGTGCTGGTCTGTCCTACTCTGTCATAAAAATAAGAATTTTATTTAATTATTTGAATAAAAAGACTTCCTTGTGAAATTTTTTAGACATAATTTAATACTATATAATTTTACCTATGTCAATAACACTAATTAATTTATTTGCAATACAAGTGTTATCGGTGCAAAATTAATAACATGTGTTTTATCGGCTGATAAACGATATTGTAGTTTAACCCGATTTTATGGTGCAGTTATTGTAAAAATATAATTTAGGAGATAAATCATTAAAAAATAAAACATTATCCTAAAGTAAAATGTGAATTTAATCCAATAGTTGTAGTCTTTCGTACTTATAAAAACAACCAATATATTTTTGACAAATAATTATAGTTTGTTTGTTGTCTACCATCGCCAAAATTAATAGGTTTATAGGATAGGTGGGAACTCTTTATATGTAATTATTTAGTAAATGTAAAAAAACAACTAAGGACTTATCTGTTCTACGCTTACTTATCACTCGTCGGTGTACTGATCGATAAATAATCACTGATTACAAGTTTTATTAAATTTATCAATACTAATGTACATACGATAAGGCATTTCTTAATAGAAATCTTACACTTAACACGTTCAATTTTGTGTATAACAAAATGTCTGTCAGAGAGTTAAGTCCTGAGCTAGCTCAGAAAGCTAGACTTGAATTATTCGAGGACCCAAAGAGGACAGCGAGTGATATACAGCATATTAAAAACTGGCTCTCTAAACAGCCGCATTTACGGGCGAGAACAGGTAATTCTTCTAGAAGTAAACATCTGAGAATGCACAATTTTAATATTATATGAATACGTCTAATATTGAATAAATATATAGTTAACTATAATTTTAAATTACAGAAAGATACAATCGCTTCAGTTAGAAAGCTATAATTAGTTTCTGGAAAATTCTAAAAAGCAAGCACTTTTATACATAAAGTCTAAATTCTAGACAAGATTTTATGGTCTAGACATAGAATCTATTATTATTAATAATAAAATAACAGCTACTTTAATTGCGTTACCCATAGACAATACATAATTTTATAATAATAATTTACAGATGATCAATGGATATTACAATTTTTGCGTGGATGCAAATTCAGCTTAGAGAGAACGAAGGAGAAGATAGATCTTTACTATACAATGCGCACACTTGCTCCGGAGTTATTCCGTATACAAGGCAAAGATCCATTGTTCAAAGAAATATTGAAATTGGGGTAATTTATATATGTAAAAGTAAAGCTTAGAAGTAATGTTATTGCATTGTTGGCTTAGCAATTAATAAAGGCTTAATAAAAGAAGTATTTAAAACAAAAGTTAATTTTAACAACGCTGTGTTATTAATAAATTCATAAAAGCGTTGCCTGAAGACAAACCTGATCTATGCCTCATTCAGTAAATTCTAATTTGTTTAATTCACAGGTCATATTTGATTCTCCCTAAATCAAAAGCAGCAGATGGTACAAGAATTACAATTGTTCGTCCTGGTGCTTACGATGCTAGTATATATAATATTATCGACATTCTAACAGTGGCCAATGTCGTGGAAAGGGTAAATAAAGATAAATTTGTATAAAATTTTGCCATACCAACTTTTTAGCAGCTTTAATGTGATGGAAATTACAATGCGTAAGAGATGATTTAAAAAATCAATGATCACAAGTGTGGTAGCTCGATTTAATACTTTAAGTGCACATTAAGTCCGGCATGGACATTTTAAACCTACAAAAACGTTAAGCTTATGTCTACATCTATGTAAATAAGCAAAATGTTTTGCAGATTGTATTAGCAGAAGATGATACTCCAGGGATTTGTGGAGTCCGAACGATACTTGATTTAAAAGGTGTCACTATGGGACATTTTACACAAATGACGCCTGCCACTATGAAGAAAATGGTTGTGTTGGGTCAGGTAGATATAAATCGCCATTAAACCTATTTCATATGTATAATGTATTCTGTGGTAAAATATTTATTAATAAACTAAATATTAAAAAAAATAAGGATCACATAACCAAATCTTCGATTCTTATATTCACGCGAAAGCACCAGATTTAAGAGTTTTACAATGTTTATATATACATGTATATATGACTGTTTCTGTTTCTTAAGGACGCCACTCCTATGAGATTTAAAGGAGCTCATTACATCAACTTACCAGCAGGATTCGATGTTGTATTCAACGCACTAAGAAGCTTGTTAAATGAGAAAAACAGAAGCCGGGTTTGTATTAACGATAACAATGTAGACCTTTTTATGAAGTAGTTATTAATTTGTATTTTATATTTCAGTTGTATGTTCACAATGAGAATTATGAAGAAATGTACAAGCACATACCAAAAGACGTTCTCCCGCATGAATATGGTGGTAGCGCTGGAACAATAAACGAAATCATAGGTATGATAACTTAGTTTGAAATACAACTCTAATATAAAGAAACAATCGAGTTAATGAGACCAGATAAAAGATCAAGCAATGTATTGCTGGTAATCAGTTGATCGTGGGTTCAGTCCCCATCGGGTCGAATATGCTTTTAATCAATTTCTTTTGTGGAACATGAGCGACTTCGTCTGGTAATCTGGATAATAAATGCACCATCCATTAAATATATCGAAATTCTTTCTGGACCTCGAACCACGACGAATCCACTGACGATAGGCTAGAAGTTTAATCGCGTTTCAGTCTGTGGATTGTTTAATAACCCAAAGAGAAATTTGGTTGAAGTGCATCGCGTTAAGATGTTGTATACATGAATGTAGTCTCAAATCATTAAAATTTTAGATTATTGGTTGAAAAAAGTGGATGAATACAGTTCGTGGTTAGAGGAAGACCAAACCTTTGGAACAGATGAAGCCAAACGACCAGGAAAACCGAATACTGCTGCGGATTTGTTTGGGGTCGAAGGCTCATTTAGGCAGTTAGATTTTGACTAAAACGAAACATACTTGATCATATATAAAACTTCAATGCGATAAACCACATTAAATAAATACTCAGGCTGGTTGAATGATATAATAAAATGTTTGATTCCTTAAATAGGTGTTTCTCTTTTTTGATAAATCAACAATCTTTAATGTTGTCTCAAAAATCGTATCAACAATCTTTAGTCAGCGTCAGGCTGAACTAAAGGTTGTTGATATAAGCATAAGAAAAGATAATTCTCTCAATACATTTCAGCGGTATTATTATTGATTTTTTTTATTTGAATTAAATTTGTTTAATAACTGAATCTGGATCAATATAATTAAAAATCCTAACAGATCATAATTTTGAAAAAATATAGCATTATTATCCATTACAATCAAGACGTGATGATTCGAAAATAGACACAAAAAAATATTATATAATTGTTCTATCTGCTTATAGAAGTAAACACATGGTTATCTATTTTCATAATTGGTATTAGTTATCAATCCATCATATTTATTATTTAATACTTATGAGTCATGTGATTCAGACCGATCTAAACACATATTACGCTTCCATATCGTAATGCCCCACAAGGAGGCATTCTCTAGAGTCTAGATGATCAAAGAGTTGAGCATAACCACGTAGTAAGTTCCAGTGTAAGTTTTTCACAACTACCGCCACAAAATTGGTGATTGAGATTCTATTAACGCCTTTCCGAAGCACGGGGGACTCGGGAACTCTAGTCTTCGGACTGGTGCTACAAATTTTATCTAAATAATTTCAATTATCGAACGTCTTTTTTGGATTCGAAACCTAGACCTCGTGATCTGTAGAGAGTACTTACTAGACAAGACCAACCGGCCAACGATGCAGTTATTTTACAAGAAGTTTTCACATATTCCAAAGTTCTGAGTATATTTTACTGGAGACATTCCCATATCAATTTAGACGTGCGGTATCAATTGATTACAAGCAACAATAATCAATGATAATAATTCTGAAGCACACATAGCACGAATGATTTGTTCAGTGCCACTTCATAATTGCAAGTAAGACGTCGTTAAAATGACGATCCGACCTTTGTGTCCAGAGTTAGCTGAAAAGGCTCGGGTGGAATTAAACGAAGACCCGAAACGGGTGGAGAGTGATCTTGCTTATATTAAGGAATGGATAAGCAAGCAACCTCACTTAAATGCAAGAACAGGTCAGTATACAGTAAATTAAGATCCGTCATAATTCTAGGGTTTCGTAGGCATACGATAAAGATGCTCTAAGCTAAAACTCCATTATCTATCTCTTAATCCAGACTTTATCTCAAACATTTGTTGCCGCTAAACTTAAAAATGCAACATTAGAATAATTATAAGACATAATTGATGAATTAACTAGAAAAGAGAACTCTCTGTACCTGACTCGGACTTCACTGGATTCTGATTACTGTAAATATTTTAAGAAATATATCCTATCGTTGTATACATAAGATATTTTAATTTTGGATGAGACTGAAAAACATCTCTAATATTTCAGATGACCAATGGCTAATAGCATTCCTTCGAGGTTGTAAGTTCAGCTTAGAAAGAACTAAGGAGAAGATAGACCTGTTCTATTCCATGCGAACACTTGCACCGGAGCTCTTTTTTCATAGGCACCACAATGATCCAGTCTTCCAAGAAATTGTAGAAAAGGGGTATCGCTATTGAATCTTATTTGTTTTAGTATAGAATATGCTTTTTAACTTTTTTTCCTTAAGTTAGTATTATATTATTCATTATGTATTTAAGGGCTTGCTTTATTCTACCGAAGAAGGCTGCTCCAGACGCACAGAGTGTTTTCTTGGCTAGACCAGGAGTATTGGATCTGGAAAAATACAAGGTTACTGACTTCATGGCTGTGTCCAATGTAATGCAAAGGGTAAGAATTGAGTTATTACAAGATTATCTATGTCACTAATTTTAAACGAGTATACCTTTTGGTTCTATACTGTAATAATTGTTCTAAGACAAGTAAAATCATGTGTGGGGCATAGGGGAGAAACATTTCTCTGGGCATTATAGTCATCGTTATTATTTAAAGGCCAGTGAAGCTAACTGTCTGCTCTTGCTTACAAACTTCTGTGCAATATAATCATCGATTAACGGCGGTCTTATAAGACTATTATTGATAACTTCTTAAAAGTTGATAACGATTGTTTGTTTTAGATAATGCTTATGGACGATGACAATACAGTTGTGGCCGGGGCACGGTTTATAATGGACATCGAGAATGTTGGAATGTCGTTTTTCATGCAGATGACTCCATCTATGATGAAGAAAATGTCTATTTATACGGAGGTCAAAATATTTTAGAATACTGATTATCTTAAAACACATGTTTACTGGCTAGATTAAATTTTAAATTTAATACGCTAACACACACAAAGACAAACAAATAGAACTTTAAACATATACATTGTCCTTCATGTTATATAACATATATCATGAAGGAGAATTAAAAAAATAATAATAGCAAATTAAACTAATCTTAAAAGAAGTACAGTAAATATTAAGCAATTAAGGATTTTTTAATTGAGAAAATTTATGATCAGCGCAAAGTTGACTATATCATAACCTAAATAGTGAAATCCCATTTTCGCTGTTTCGTTCAAGACAAGCTGAAGAATTGTCGTTGTAAAATTGAAATTGTTTGCGAATATACGATACTAGCTACCCGGCTCGGCTTCCCTCGGGAGCAATGCTGATAAATACACTACTGGAAAGCTGTGAACGTTGCATAAACCCCTTCCTCTTGAATCACTCTATCTATTAAAAAAATCGCATCAAAATTCGTTGCGTAGTTGTAAAGACTTAAGCTTATATAGGGATAGAAAAAGCGACTTTGTTCTATACTATATAGTGATGACAATAAAAGATAGAATATGACGACATTTTTAGAAGGCCCTATGTGTCCGGCCGACTATTAAACTATTAGGTATTAGTGTGATACATTTTTTTTTAAAACAGTAATGTGGATATTATGTTACTAACTCGCTTCTCAAACTACAAACCTTATTTTGAAAATGGTCACAAGGTCTTAAATCTATCTATTTAAAATTTTGGTAATCATATCTATTTTTATCCAACTCGATAAAAGTGTTTTTAGTTATAAACAGGAATTCAAATGAATCCCATATTTATTTGTCTTGTCTTTGCAGGAAGCTATTCCACTGCGGTTCAAAGGCGGTCATTATATAAACGTAGGAAGTGGATTTGAAACCATCTATAATACGATGAAAAGATTTCTGAATGAGAAAACAAAGAGCAGAGTAAGTACTCGGTATTTTGATCAAACCAGCACAATTTGTTAAAGAATACCTATTGAAAATATTTAAACCCACCATTTAAATAAAACATTAATAAGAAACGTACGTTTACGAAATAGAAATAAAAATGAAATCTGTTACTTTTAACCGACTTCAAAAAAGTAGGTTGTCAATTTAATTTGCTTTTTCATGTTTGTTCGCGCATATTTTTCTTGTTTATAAACCGTCTTCTTGTTGGAAAGTAAATATTGTGGCGGCCCCATGTTTGTACCATCTTCAAATTATAATATAAAAACATTTATGAAATGAATTCTATTTGACTAAATCAATGCATGTGTTACATTGTGCGAAGAAATTTTTTTTTACTTTTTACGGTTTGAAATTAGCTAAAGATATTTTATTAAACAAAGCCTAGGAATATATAGACATTGCTGTTTCATATTGCATACAATCAATTTTTGTTTATTCCACAAAACTTGTGACTTCTATTCGTTTTTATAGCATCCACCTTTAAATAAAAGATATTTAGGAGCAGCTTAAAAATGAAAAAAATCAATAATTATAAATCTTTTAAATCCGTTTAAATCCCTTCAGCTTCACGTTCACAACAGAAACTACGAAGAGATGTATCAGTATGTACCGAAAGAAATCTTGCCCGTTGAGTACGGTGGAAATGGTGGAACTATTCCCGAACTTGTTGGTATGGCATTTATTACTTTCATTAAAAATGATGTCATCTCACAAACACAATCATTAAATTGCTTTATTGCGCGTGGTCTTTAAATCATTCAATCATTTCAGTCAATATCAATATCACGCTTTAGAATGAAGTAAGGAAAATAATTAATTTTCATATGAAATAGATCAATAGAATCCAGTAAATATTAACAAAAAATACTTATTTAAATAAAACACTTTAACGGTTTAAAACGCGATATATTAGTTAAACTTATTTGAAAATGACTTAACGTCGGCCCGGCGTTTCGGATGCTTTGCAGCATAAGTTTAACAAATATATCGCGTTTTAAACCGTTAAAGTGTTTTATTAAAATATGTACTACTCGCGTAAACTATAGACAGTATTTAAAAAATACTTATTTTTAAGTACGTACAAGCGAAAACTTAGATTATATGATATATTGCCATTTTTGAACTCAAAGACCACCACCGCTCTTGTTAATTTAATTTATTGTAAGAATATGTTACAACCGCGTTACATTATTTAAGACACGACAGTGATCATATAACTGATTAGATGTATTACTAAAATAAAATCCCGATACAAATAGCAGTAACCTAAAACAAACAATTTCAATAAAACGAGCAATATTGGCGTTTGCTACCTACATGATTTAATCAAGGGTAACATATAAATTACAGAATATTGGAAGAAGAAGATAGCTGAATATAGCGATTGGTTGGATGAGGACATGCATTATCGTACGGATGAATCCAAACGTCCTGGAAAGCCAAAGTCTGCTGAAGAAATGTTCGGAACGGAAGGATCGTTCAGACAGCTAGATTTTGACTAAAACAAGACGATTGTTGTGAAGAGAATCGTACTATAAAAGCTGTTATTTCACATCTCAAAACGCTTCATGTCTTGAACACTAGTCCTATAAACTCTCTATAATTACTTTCTTTGTTAGCGAGTCCGTGACGCCGTAACATTACAGCGGAACGAAAAATTGTACTTTTTTATATTTTTAATAAAAACTTAGCAGTGTGTTTTCATTTTTACTTCTCAAATGTAGGTAGTTTTTGTCAATCGCTGATTAAAGCTGAAGCGAGATACGACCTTGGTAATAGCAATGTAGTAGTATAATGAGTTCACGGTCTCAATTCACTGACTATACCAAATAGAACAATCTACCAATAAACTAAAAGCGGACAGTCTATTTCTTACAACTATTACACATATCATTGTATTACATATATCATTGTAGTTATAAGTGGTTGATAATCACGGTAATTTGACACGGATATGAGAGCAATATTTTTTTTTATTAAAAATAAAACACGGTTACAGAATACAGACAAAAATATAGATTTATATTTAAATATAGATATATAAGATTTACGTCTCTAAACATTGGTTAAACTTCATCCTCACTTTTCTATAAATATAATATATGCTTACGAAGACCCACCGCGTCAGTCGTCGCTTTGACGAATGACGAAACGAGTTGTGTGCGCGTGCGCAGCATTGAATAGGTTATATTTAAGAACGAAGTGGTAAATGTAATTGTAAACTTTCGACGAAAATAAAATCTTTAGAAAATTAAAAATCATTAGTAATTTGTGGCTTCGAATCATATCAGGTATGTTTATTTAACCTAATATAATCTGCAATAACATAGTGTAATTAGCATATGAACATATACAAAATATAAACAACGATTAGTATGGCTGACTGATCTTTCAATTTTGATATTGTAACTAATTGTGTAGAAAACCACGAGAATAAAAATAATAATGTTTTTATTTGTCGGAACTATATGATTGTATTATGCAACGCGACTTTCCTCATATTTTTCTACTAGCAAACATTAACATCTGCATTTTTGTCTGTTAAATTTGGCAATAATTTGTATTTTTTAAAGATGTATAAGTTCTTTGCAACATATTTCTGTTGCAGGTACTTCATCTAATCACAATATTCTTATCGCTTATCGGTTCCCGTCCTTCAATCGTTCTATATAGAGTGTATATTTACAAATGTATATTATATTATAAAGACTATATAAAAAACAATGTAATTGTGTTTTGTTTAACAAATAACACCGCTAAGTACGGTCTTGTTTTTGAGTGTTCTGTGTTTTAATTTGTATTTAAGTATTCTTATCTAACACGTAGTAAGCAACAATGTAGCACATTGGCGATAAAATCTACTTATTAAGGCATTAATTTATAATTAAGTCTTTAACATGATACGATTAAACAAAGACCATAGTGTTATTTATAATATTGACTTTGCAGGTGTTTCTTTTGACGTATATTAACAAAAAGGCGGTAAAAAGTAAAAACCACAGATTAGAGAGGATGGTCGTATAGATGTCTAACAAAATGCCCATAAGGAAGCTTCACCCGCTTTTAGCGGCAAAGGCTCGGGAGGAGTTAAATGAAGACCCTTTATATATCGATGAATATTTGAGTTCGTTAAGGGAATGGATATCCACACAGCCTCATCTCCGAGTAAGAACAGGTGAGAAAAAGGTTTTGCTTAGTTGAATGCTGGCCTTATAGAAATAGAAAAAAAGGTCATAGATCTTTTTTTTTATTTGAAGTAGTTTTTCATAAAATACGTTTTATATCTATTTTAATTAAGAGAAAACAAAGCAAGCTATGGAGAAAGAGGTATGGACTTACTATTTATGTGTATCAATCTTTATTACGTAGAAAATTGTTCTATAGCATTATTTATTTCTCTCATTTCAGATGACCAATGGCTAGTGACGTTTTTGCGTGGATGTAAATATAATTTAGAGAAAACCAAAGCCAAATTAGATTTGTATTACACTCTGAGAACTGTGGCGCCTGAAGTGTATTGTCTTAGATACTCGGATCCAAAGATTTATGGACTACTCGAGACAGGGTATTTTTTTCTCCCGTATTTTAATTTAAAAGATTTTCGTCGTGACAGATGTCCTTAAAAAAGAGTTTAAAACTCCAGCACATATTATTATTTCAACGATGTTGTAATATAATAATAATTTGCTTTACATACATATCATTAATAAAGTAATCCTATGAGTCCCAGCGTTGATATAGCCATTGAGTGAAACAATTCTTAAATCAAGCTAGACTACCTGGACAAGCTTGGTGGATCATCCACTTATCTTCGCATTTATAATAGGTTACCTGAATTACATATTTCTGACGAAATAAAGGTATCTTGTCTACTTTGCAGAGCTGTGCTCACAATGCCAAAAACAAAGGGTCCAGCTGAGCCCCGGGTGATATTATTACGTCCAGGATGGTACAACCCATCGGAATTCACCTTCATGGAACTTATGGCTGTGATGATATTTCAACATCAGGTTTGTTTAAATAATTCACATTCTAGACTAATATTATAAAGCTGAACAGTTTGTTTGTTTGGACGCATTAACTCCAGGAACTACTGGTTTGAATTGAAAAAATATTAGTTGTGTTGGTTAGAGCATTTATCGAGGGACGCTAATAAATATCACGTTGCGGCCAATAGTAGCGAAGACACAGTGGTAACTGTGGAAAAAAACGGAAATATATTCACCTTTACGAGCTCCGCAACCTCGTTTTTGCGTGCGCTGCGAAAACTAATCAAGATATCCAAAAAATATGTATGAAAGAATGATTTCCCGTTAAATGATTAAAAAACACGACCGGGCATTATATGTCATCTAAGGTGACATTACAAAAACGACAGGACGACGATGTTAGTAAGAGCTATAATTGAAACAGATGAGGAGGTTTGCAAAAACAAATTTGGATACCCAAGATAACTGTTCTACGCAGACGAATTTTCTGGTACATCTAGTGTTATATTAAAGTGATACCCCGTTTCCCCTATATGCAACAGCTACTTTCATTCTATTTATTGCAATGTTTACAGCATTTTCTTAATTCTAACTATGCCACTTGGCTATGGGGATATAAAATCTTGTCATGGCTGCGAGAAGACTAACCCTGAACTATTATGAATGTTTCAGATATGTTATATGGAAGATGACAACATGACAGTAGCTGGTATGATCAATGTGGTCGATTTAAAAGGCACTTCTGTAGCACACGTTAGACAAGCGCTGTTTCAGATAAGAAAGCTGATAAGAATCACTCAGGTAACCTTTATCTACTGCGTTATATAGTCTGTGATAAGATTGCACATTCAAACCATATTGTATATAAGACTTAGTCAATCGATGTAGTTAATGTCTCCATAGTGTTTTAGGCTAATAAAATTTCAGCAATTCATAAAACGCAATTCATGTTTGACTCATTATTATTGACACAAATACGAGTTTTGACGAGCTCGAGTCGTGGGTTCGATCCCAACCGGCTTCAACACTTTTCTAATAAACTAAAAAATCTGGATATTGAATGGTCGATAGCTATATCGAAATTCCGTTCGGTCTCGAACCACCGTCCACAGATGAAAAAGCCAAATCATGATGAAAAAACCAAAAAGCTTAATTGCCATTCGGTTTCAGTCAGCACATCTTGTTTAGATGTCATACGGTTGACGTATTTTACCTGCCATCTAGTGAATCTCATGCTTGTATCATAAAAAACAAAGTAATCAAAATTAAAATACTATCACAAGTATATATACTGCACTTTAAAACCACTGACGTAAAAGTTAAATAAACATAACCCTTGGGAACACGAGTCTTCGAACTACCAAGTGCTGTCCGTTTGTGGCCGGCAATGAGCATTCTCCTTCCTGGGTCGTTGTCGTTGTTATCAATTTAAATAAAGCCAGCCCTGACGCGATATATGGGAGATTTTTGTCATGAAACATATGAACCCGCGGCCTTGTCTCGTCCTTGTTGTTTATTGAACGATAAGCAAATATACTTTACACGTTAAGAGGCTATCAACTTAACGCATCCTTTATGTCAACTCATATCTTCCAGAAATATTAATTGCTTTTAATGTGCAATATCATCCTCGCGCGGTTCAAAAGGAAGTCACATAGTTCCCGATAATAAAACCGGAAGTACGTTTCTGTCTTGACCGGTCATGGACAATGGGAGAAAACTTGTAGAACTAGCTACAATTTAAATAAAACACTTTAACGGTTTAAAACGCGATATATTAGTTAAACAAACTTATTTGAAAATTATTTTTAACTTCGGCCCGACGTTTCGGATGCTTTGCAGCAGCCGTGGTCACGGGGAGACTGTCTCCCCGTGACCACGGCTAAGTTTAACTAATAAATCGCGTTTTAAACCGTTAAAGTGTTTTATTTAAATGTGTACTACTCGCGTAAACTATAGACAGTATTTGACTAGCTATAATTCTTAAAAGTAATATTTTTTACAGGCACATGAGGGCACTATATAAATTAAAAATCGATTATAAATTTAAAAAAAAAGAACCGGGAAGGACTTAAACTAGCATCCATACCGTTCCGTTGTATTAAATTTATAATCGATTTTTAATTTATATAGCTATAACTTAATAAATAATAACTTACTTAAAAATAAATTATAGATTTAAAACATTTACGACACATGCAGGATTTGAACCGGTATCTTCAGCGATCCGTGCCGTTCCTCTAACTAATTAACCTACCGTGTCTACACGTTACTGTCGAATGTTTTCAACAATGTAATGTCAATTAATTATAACTTGCTTACTTTATTTGGTTTTTTACACCAGCAGTGCTCAGGAGTCATTATAAAGATTGAATAAAATATTCGTTTTAGTTCGAATATACAACATGACTGTATCTGACGGATTGTGGATTGGTGTGGTTTATAATTAAGGGATCGTGGCTTCGATTCCGACGATGTCCAACATGTTTTCTAAACTTTCGAAACTTATTTTCTAGAAAATCGGGATATCAAATGGATGGGGATGTCAATTTTGGGTAACCAAAACAAATAAAAAGCCCTGAAGGTGACTCCGTTTGTGGATTCATGAACGTCAAAATAGTCTTGTTTCGATGTTTTATGGCGTGTGTGTTGTACCTTCCATCAAGTGAACTTGTATATCCTATACTTGTATATCTAAATATAAAGTTAAGGTCACTTAAATTTTGTTAATTTCATTTAGACATTGTGAGCTACTATCGCATAATTTGTGTCGAAAGCATTACTAAATGAAAGTCTTTTACATTCTTCACTAGGATGCAGCACCGACAAGGATGAAAGGAATTCACATCCTCAACACCATGATGTTATTTGAGTCCTGTTATAACTTAGTGAAACATTTGCTGAGCGAGAAAATAAGGAGTAGGGTGAGTTGACTAAGTATATAGATATTTGTTTAAACTTTGATATTGTGTCTATTTAAAAAACCGATACTTACAGATATTTTGTAGTTTAAACCATCTAGCGACTTTTAAATATTATGCATTTTATTTCCAGCTGCAAATACATAATAAAAATTACGAGCAATTCTATAGAAGTGTACCAAGGGAGGTCTTGACAGTAGAATATGGAGGGCAGGGAGGAACAACTAGAGAAATTATAGGTCAGTTTAAATTGTTCGCTTTCTGACGATAAACTTTAGATTTTTTATAATAATTTTCTACTCAATATAAAAAAGGTGAAATCTCGTTTCCCCTCGTGGGGCATAGGGCGAACACATTTCTGTGTCCGTTTCATTAATCGGTTTTATTTGCAGGCAAGTAGTTGATCAGACTTCTGTGCTCTGACCGACCGAAATAATTTACTGTTTCCCCAGGATTTTAACCCAGGCCCTCTCGCGCTTAGCGCTAGGCATTTAGCTACAGAGGCGGCCATTCACGAAGTCAATATATAACAAAAATTAATAACAACATATAGTATTAGCCTTATAGTAAAATACATGCTACTGGATCAAAGGAAAATATTATTATATCTTTATTGTAAGCATAATAATGTAGTTTAATTGAGCCTAAAATAATGTTATGAGCAAATTGTCGTTCATACGTTGATGTCAACGGAGCTTTGGTGACTATTATTGTGTTCTTTCGTGATTAAATATGTCTAATAATCATGGTTTTTTCGAAAATATTTTTATGTAATGTTTACTGTTACTTTTTCACAGATTATTGGAAAAGAAAATTTGCACAATACGAGGCGTGGTTTAGAGAAGATTTCCAATACAAATCAGATGAGTTAAAACGTATGAAAAACTAGCAGAGTGCGAATTAGATAGAATTACAAGAAATAAAGTTTTTGATAATTTAGTTAAGGACAATTAACAAGATCAACTATAGCATCGATGTTTCTTTTTTTAATCGTTTCTTATCAACATATATATCTTGGTCTGTTATACTTACGAAACAAAAGGTTTTTTACGTTACAAATTTGATGACCACAGATGGGCTATGAAAGCATAATTGGTAACTCAATTATGGTTAAGTGTAAGCTATAATTTAAAAAAATTAACATTGCTATTGAGATATAAATTGCGAACGAAGCAGGTAAGGGCGTTGGCGTTATGGTAGCAATGGATGTCTGTATCCCATCAACGGGTGGTGTGTACAATCCCCATTGGGTCCGAAATTTTTTAACCAATTTATATTTTATCTGAAACAAATGAACCCTTTGTCTATCTTATCCCTCTATCATAAAAAAGAAGTTATTTAGAAAAATAAGAGTTTTTTATTAAACAATTCATTACATTATAGATTATTGATGTCGGTATCTGCATATGCCCAATGAATAGACCTAATATTACTTTTTACCTTCTAAGCATGCATAATATCGTCTCGCGGTTTATGTATTAGTGATTAAAATATTAGTTATTTAAATACTGGGTGTTTTAAGATCTCCATTTTGCTTTACAATGTACATTCTTCAATTGTTAAAAAATACTCTAACATGTTTATGTATAGCTCGTAATTTTAGTAGTAATGAGATTTCTTTGCTAAAGAGATGTGTATTGTGATATCGTAAAAAAAATCCAAATTGTACCTAAATACTGCCGCGGGTAGTTGTTGAATCCGTGTATTATTTTAGGAATAATTTGATTAATGATTAGTAAGTAATAATTACCTGTACACAATAAATATATTTTTATAATTTGTTTATTGATTTTTTATTTTTATTCAGTCACATTTAAAGCTTTAGAGAACCTAATTCGTCTAGTGATATTAACACCCATCTGTAATGTTGGGAGTTCGATACTTCGTCGTACATAAAAAAGTGTATTATGTTCGTTTACATTTTAAATGTAAACATTGCAATTCCACGAGTGTGGAACATTTATTTATTTAATCATTAAAATGACCTCATTGGGAAGCTTTAATCCCACCCGCGGGAGCTATTAAACTTATATAACAAAAACACATACAAGTTTTCAAAAAAAAAAAATATAATGTTTTTATTGTTGTAAAAATAGTCAACCACCACCAGTGTTAAGTTTTCTGAATAAACGTTAATGAAGTTTAATAAATATCCTAGTTCTCAGAATCTTATTAGTTATTGGTGTTATGAGGCTTGTAACTATACTATACCACAGCTTAAGGTGTTATCAGTACAACGCATACTGATAACAACTTACGCTATAGTCTCATATAAACGCAACTAAGAAATATACTGTTTCGTCTCCACTCTGAGTGAACGATATTTATTTATAAATTATTGCATTGTGGACTACTGTTGACATCTTCTGCTTATAAAATGCACTAAGTACCTGACATGATGATCGAATAATGAGTGAGCGCACGGCATAGCGTGTAACGCTGTGCGCTGTTTATAGCGTTTATTGGAGACCGCAGCCTTACGATAACCATTCATTTTCATTGCGACATTGACAGTCGATATACCTTGTCAGTTAGAGTCGCTAACGAAAAACTGAAAAGGTATTATTTCGAATGTGCAGTTTATGACCGTGATAAGTTAGTCTATCATTACGTTTTAATCGTTTTAGAGCGAAAGACGCGTTTTTCGTTTTTTTTATAATGTGAATTGTGTCATCCTGGGTATTGGTGAGTTATCTTTTATATCTAACGTAACAGATGCACTAAATCATGATTGTGTGTATGAATCGAGTCTAAAATTGGGAAAACTTGTAGATATTCGTTTTTTTAGGCATGATACAATGTACTTTTAGTTAGTAGTGAGCCACTGTTTAGGTAACTATAGTTACTTATTGTTATATTGTTGCATACTTCTTATGCAAAGTGGAGGTCGTTTAAACTATTCATCATAGGAAACAGTTACTACATAATAATTTATCGTTTATTCTACTTATTTATATGGGTAGAATTAAAATATACATCTCAATCGAGTATATAAAAAAATATGTGTACAGTTAATTAAAAAGATAGGTACTTATTTTTTATTTTATTATCCCTAATAATGTTTTCCTTCCAATTTCTATATGTAGACATGAGTAAAATACGTGAGTTGACGCCTGAATTGGCTGAAATTGCCAGAAAGGAATTGAATGAAAATCCGAAACGCACTCCAAAAGACATCCAGCATTTGAAGGAATGGGTGGCCAAACAACCTCACTTGAGGGCACGTACAGGTATTGTATATTATCGTACGTTTGCACCATTATCATTTCCTTTGTGTAATTTCAATATCATTATTATAATTCTGAGTAATGTCATCCATACTGGTATTAATTGTAGATGTTTGTTGCCGAGGAAATAACAATTGTCGTACATGTCGATTTTTCGGTTCAAGTTGTAGAGAATAGGTATACTTAGTAATTTTGAAGGTTGAAGTATGCAACTGTAATGTTATTTTCGTTAATTTTGGTAATTATTGTAGATAATGTCGGACGATGTTTTGTACTCTTTCATATAATTAGTTAATTGTTGTCACTGTTTAAACGATATAAGGTTTATTAATTTACTTATAGACGACCAGTGGTTACTTGCATTGCTACGCGGTTGCAAGTTCAGTTTGGAGAGGGTCAAAGAAAAATTAGATCTCTACTACACATTACGAACAACAGCACCAGAGATCACGTTACGTCTGAAACCTACAGAAGACGAATTCCTAGAATTTCTGAGGCTCGGGTAAGTTAATAATGTTATTAAAAAGTCTTATTACAAGTTTTGGAAATCTACGCATACTATTATAAAGGTGTAAGCTAATACGAACATTTTTTTTCTAAAATGGTTTTATCTATACTATTATTATAAATCTAAAGCATTTACTGAGCAAGGCTTGAGGCCATATAACATTACGCCTCGACTAATGGGAGCGAAGACATAGTGGAAAATGTGGGAAAGACAGGGATAATTATTTAACTTTGAGGTCTTCCTTTGCGTGCGGTGCGAAAGCGGTTCAAGAAACCAAAAAATATCTATGAAAGAATGATTACTCTTTAAATGACCTTATAAAATGTCCGCGACCTTTTAAGATCAACTTTGCTAAAACGACAAGACTCGGACGACGTCGTGGGTAAAAGCTAGTTTTAGTATAAATGTATCAAACGATCGCATGCACAACGATGCACAAGAACGTGTTTCTATCTTAAATATTTTCAAAGTGTTTGTCTGTCAGTTTGGATGCGAGAATAGCATCTATTTCTTTCTCTGACATACATACAGACAATTATTTTCTATGGTCGTGGCAAGCTTTATACATAGTATTTCTTTCAGAACCTGCGTGATACTTCCAAAATCGAGTACCCTCCACCCTCGCGCTATCCTGATTCGAGCAGGAAGGTTCGATATCAACAAGTATGAAATTGATGATGTTATGTGTACCTTATACTATCTAGTTCAGGTAATCATAATGCCTAGGTAGACTTAAAAATCTAACCTATTTTATGTTTTTAAGCTTCAATCAAAAGTTTACCCTATTGTTAGGATGATTAAATTTAAGGCTAAGGCGGTAGAAAGGTAAAAAAACATCTGCCTACATACAATGTATTGTTTTCCAAAATAATAAAAATACCGTAAAGTGACCCCCTGTTTTATAAAATAGGTCGACTACACAAGATTCGTTGTCGGCATATTTTGATTTTAGATAAGGGGAACTTGACGTTTTCATCTGTGGACGGTGATTTGTGACCCGGATTGAATTTAGATATTCTAACCACCCACTTAATATCTAGATTTCCGGACAAAGTCCAACATGTTTCAGAAAAATTAGGAATTGATTAGAAAAACGAAAAAAAAATGTCCCGGTGGTGGTCGAACCCACGAGTGATACATTACTACCATTACTTCAACGAGCCCCTGAAGGGTATGATGGAGAAATTCTTTTCTATGTGTGTGTCCATTCCATTTACGTGCAAGTAGCTAATGAGACTTCTGTTTCTCGTGCAACATAAAACAATGTCATGTTTTCCTGAAATTCACATCCTGGACCTGTCTAAACCATTAAGGATACGGAAACTATAATGTGATAAAAATATGTGAAAATGTAGTTGTAATTCCCACAAATAGTGTAAGTAAGCAAATTAAGAATTTAAAACAGAAATTGCCAATTTAGTTTTTTTGTTCGTGCAACCTTGTTTTTTATACACGTCATGCTTCACGTTGCTTCTATTTATTTATTTTCTTATTTCGCGCGAATACTACCTTGTAAAAAAATAGGTCTCATTTAATCTTAATAACAGAATTTACAACGAGCTAGGAGGTTTAGTATTAACTTTTGAAGCTGAAAAAAATATTAATTCGCCATGCAAATCTGACAGTCGCTGGTGATCCGTGACACTTCTATGCTGAGAAATCTAGTAGTAGTATAGATACTAATATATAAAGGAGAAGAGTTTGTTTGTATGTTTGCGCGCTGTATCGCGCTAATCTCAGGAACGAATGGTGCGAATTGAAAAATTATTTTTGTGTTGGTTAGAATAATTATCGCGGAAAGCTATAGGCTATGAAACATATCGCTGTGGACTCATAGCGGCGAAGAAACAGCGGGAAATGTCGAAATTACGGGGAAAATTATTCAGCCTTGAGGGTTTCCATTGCGTACGCTGCGAAAACAGTTCTAGATCCCCAAAAAATATGTATGAAAGAATGATTTCTCTTTAAATGATCCAAAAATATCTGTAACAGTGTATGTCTATCTTGTAAGATTAACTTGCAAGAACGACGGGACGCGGACAACGTCGTGGGTAATAGCGTAAATTTATCGAGTTGAACGCGAGGTTAGCAAAAACAAAAATTGATACTCAAAGTAACAAATTTTACGCGTACGAAGTCTTTGACTCAGCTAGTGTTTATATAAGAGATCTATTAAACGTGTAACTTTACTATCTAACTTTATAGCAATCGACATTGAACTTAATAACGGTAATTAAATTTGTGCTAGAGTCAATAAATAATATTGTAAAAGGAAATGGCCGCGATGAAATTCAGCATTTTCTAGATAAGTTCAAAATGACCTCTTGACTCTAGTCATAAGTAAAACGACTGAAACTGATATTTACTGAACTATATTATAAATACGAAAAATGTTTGTTTGTTTGTCCTTCACAGGCAAATAACGAACTAATTTACTTCCTTTGTAGCAGACACTTAATACGAATAATAAACGTAAAGACTTTGTTTTGAGACTTTTTAGCCTTTTTTTTTATTTTTATGTCTCCGTTAGAACCATCCTTGTAGTTCGAGGGATATTCTAAAAAATACGATAAAAGAAACACTTACTTATAAATTTAGGTATTTAAATATTAAAGATTATTCCTTACTACCCTAATAATTAACTGAATAATTAATGGGGGAATCTATCGTTTGGGGATACTAATCTTCATCCCTATTTTGAATTATTTTAGTTCTCGAATATTACCTTAAAACGACCTGTCACTACCCCGACCTCGAACTTATTACGTATAAGATTTATTAATAAGTTACCTGAAAGTATCAAACGCCCAGTTTCTTAACATCTTCAAGAAATCATTAAAGTTTCATATTTTAGAATATGAATAAGTTAATCATTAGCATTTTTAAAAATTATATATCCCTGTTTCGTTTAATTAAACTACCGACGCTTGTAAACACATTTAAGTTTGAGTATTATTGTTTTCTCATTAAGTGAATATGTATATTCTTAGAGAAAATAAATTATTGAAACCTAAATACTTCCTGTGAGAATCTATTTTAATTTGAATAATACAAAGTTAATAACTTAAAAATGTCGTGTTACAGTTTCAAGGGAACTTTCCAGAATCTTTTTCTGATATTAATAATATATATGTGTATTTTATTTTCAGATACTTGTCTTGGAAGACGAAGCAGCTTCTATAGTGGGTACAAAGATAATAGTGGACTATGACGGCTGCACGATTTCACATTTAACTTTAGTCAATCCCACACTTCTTCGAAAACTTATAGCTGTAGGACAAGTATGTGTTACTTTTAGAGATCTTGTAGACAATACCGATAGTAAAGTATAGCGCAATTTCATCCAGGACTAGAGCACTGTAATTTGCCGACTACCCACACCAAAGACAAGCATTCTTGTTCGTGTGGGTAGTCGACAAAAAAAAAAACAAATACAAATTTTTCTAGCTCTCAATTATTATTGTACTATCTTTATTTTTATTTTGCAGGATTCCCTTCCACTACGTCTTAAAGGAAGCCATCATATAAACGTTGCACCAGGAGTAGAAATGGTATTTAAACTTGCATCAGCTTTCCTCAACAACAAAGCGAAAGAGAGGGTATGTATCTCTCAAAATAAGAGACCTTAATGTTTATTGCTTAAGCTTAAATGTATAATTATACCCCTTTCTAGCTCAAAATACACAAGAACCCAGAAGAACTATTCGAAATCCTACCTAAAGAAGTCATACCAACTGAGTATGGAGGCACAGGCGGGAGTATTGCTGATATATCTGGTAATTTTATTATACAGCTAAAGTTAGGCTACTTGCGCATTTGATCGATTCGATCGTCGTTATTGTGAAATGGTTCTCTGTGTCAAAAGACAGCCACAATGTGCATGATCGAGGAACGACTAACATTTTTTGATTTCCACTTCAACTGTTTGATATTTATGACAACCAAACAACTCGAAACCCCAAACAACCTTGCGAAATGGCCTCAAAAGCCTTATGAACTTAAAAAGTTACTTTCAATATTAGACTTATTAAGAACAATAGAGATATTAAGATACTAAATTCGCACTATTTTCAGAGTATTGGATAAAGAAAGTAGTAGAATACAGATCGTGGATGAAAGAAGAGCTGAAGTTCGGCACAGACGAATCCCTAAGGCCGGGAAAACCACACGGCGATGACATTTCAAACGCTGGATCTTTCCGGGCGTTGGAAATTGATTAATGTTCGCCAAATCACATAATGCACTTGCTTGATGCACTGTTTTCTTTTGTTAATTTATAAAGAATTTAAAGTTATGTTTTTTCTTAATTTATCCCCACGGCAATGAGTAGGTTTTAAACTGCGTCTCTATAGAATCTCTATTGTTCTGAACAAATCTTTATTTTTTTTAAAGTCCCTTCCGCCTGTTCCGTCACAAAAATAATTAAATCAAAGATTGCATTTCCTTCTGATTAATTATTAATCCATTATTATGAGTTTATTAATTATCTAAGTGAGAGGAAAATCTTGGTAGCTGGAATGGCAAAACAATTTTTTTACTAAGAAGTACTTAAGAGGTACGTGTGTTTTACCCTGTTTTAATGTATACACATAAAACGCAACGATGTATATGATCAAAAAACTGAGTGTTATTTTACGGTTCTAGAACTTTGACGTAGATTTAGATAGATTACTGATTACAATTATATTTCCAAGACGTAGAATCCTAATGACAAAATTAAAAAAAAAAAGTTAATAATATTTCTGCATTTTATGCGTCCATTAAGCTTATACTGCCCACGATATAGATAAGAACTTGCCAGACTGGTTTTAAAATAACACGAAAATATTAAACATATCTACATAATTGTTCGCGTCTTCTCACTATGCATTTTCCAAGTACAATTTTTCTTAATAATATTGTTGTTTTTGGATCTTTATATAAACAATTTATCACCCGAAGAAAAGATGGTTGAAATCCACTTGTTGATGTTGTTAACATTGAGAACGAGCTATTCAGTTCAGGAAGTGTTGTCTTGGTTAGTCGCCTTTTTAGTGTTGTAAAGTTACACTTAGTTTATTATTTACATAAAAATATTGTGGTAAGTAACAATAATCATTTGCTTTGTTCTCACAAAAATAGTCAATATTTAATATATATGTATATAATATATTATAATAATTCGTTTTAAAAGAGAATTTAAAGGTATGAAAATGGTTACAAAGATTTTAACATTCATTTTATTATTGTTTTTTAATATAATCGTTATAAAGAACAATAGATAAGTTATACCTAATATAATTTTGTTTTTGTTTAATACATACTTATTTTCGTGTGTATCTTAAAAGTTCATTTTCGTTTTTTAGGTTTTTTAGTTTTTTTGAGGCAGACCAATTATTAAATGTTATTACCTATACTTGTATATTATATCTTTACGTAGAATGAATTTTAGATTAAAGATGGACCTAAGGCAGCTGCCAAAAAGTTTGCAAGAGAAATGTGAACGAGAACTAAATGAACAGCCCGAAAGAGTGACTTCAGATGTCCGGGCCGTAAGAGACTGGCTTGAAAAGCAACCACATTTACAAGGAGTTAAGCCCAGTAAGTTTTATTATTTATTATACATCGAGAACATTTGATTACTATAATGTTAGTATTTATTTTTATTACTAAATAAATATATTTCTTTATTGTATACAGCGCCATCTAGTACTTTAAGAAATAATTAATTCCATAACGGTTTGCAGTCAACGTTTACTCTAAATTTTATGAGGACTTTATTATAGTACTATATTTAAACAAGAGATGTCAGTGTTATAAGAATAAAAAATAAATATAATAAAAAAATAGGTTTAAATAGATAAGTAATTTCTTTTATAAAGATTTTTAAATCCATAGGCTCAGATTTTGTTAGTAGGTGTGATCATTTTTCTAAATTAAAGTACGAATCTTTTCAGCTGACCAGTGGCTAGTGTCTTTCCTACGTGGAAGCAAATCTAGTCTGGAAAGAACAAAAGAAAAGCTGGACTTAAGCTATACTCTGCGAACTTTAGTGCCTGAAATATTCCAGAACAGAGATCCGTTAGATCCGAAAATAAATGCAATCTTAGCGAAAGGGTAATAACTAAATACTGTCTATAGTTTACGCGAGTAGTACACATTTAAATAAAACACTACCGGTTTACTAGTCTCCCCGTGACCACGGCTGCTGCAAAGCATCCGAAACGTCGGGCCGAAGTTAAAAATCATTTTCAAATAAGTTTAACTAATATATCGCGTTTTAAACCGTTAAAGTGTTTTATTTAAAGGGTAATAACTATTAATTTGCTTAGATTAAATAGGTACATTAAGGTACTGTTAAAAATATTATTTCTGACATAAAAAATATAAGTAGTAGCAATGTACAGCGTATAATAACTATGGTTCCAATACTTTTCAAATCAATTTATAATTTTCTGAAATATGTTAGACTTCGTCTGGAAATCTGGTTATTATATATATGCGGTAGGAATATCGAAATTTCGCCCGTGTCACAAACCACCGTCCACAGACGAAAAACCCGTGAAGTTTAATCGCGTTTCGGTTTCAGGTGAAAAAAGATCGACTATGCATCTTGTTTAGATGTTATATGACTACTATCATAAAAAAAATCTTCTAGAATAACAATTTCTCTCCCTCAATTTCAGTTTATACCTGCCCCTACAAAAATGTATCACAGAAGATGGCTGCCGTCCAATGTTTGTACGATTCGATCTTCGTGATGGACCCCTAATACCTGTTGAAGATCTGATGAAGGTCGCTTTTATGATTGTGGAAATTTTAATACGTGACGATGACAATTTTATAATATCTGGAGAGGTAACTTGACTTTTTAGTTTTATCATTGCTCTTTGTTTCCTGCACGAACATGAGAGTAAGATTAAATGTTGCAATTTTTGTATAACTTACTGCGCTGGCGCAGCGGCTCTAAGTGGGTCTTGGCCTCCAGAACAAGTCACTGATATTTTTAATAATTAACACGTTTATTTACTATTTGTATATTAAGTATTTGATTTGTTTAAACTGGTATTTCGGTTGTGCGTTTTATCATTGCTATAAAGCGTCCGAAACATCTGATCGTTTAAAATTATCTAATTGGATTCGTTTAAATAAAACTCTAACGGTTTAAAACGCGAAATATATTAGTGAAACTTAGTTGAAAATGATTTTACCTACGACCAAACGTTTTGAATACTTTGCAGCAGCCATGGTCACAGGGAGACAAAAGATGGAGTGTGTTTAGTCTCCCCGTGTGTTCTTTAATGTGCTCTACTTGGGTAAACAGACCGTGTTTAATAGAATTCGCGTTTTATACAGTTTATAAAGTTTTGTTTGTAGTTTGCATAAACTAAAAACAAGCAATTATTATGTTGAGACCTTGTTGTTAATGAAAATTTTTATAGATAAGACTAAAGTAATTTTTCTAACTATTACTTTTTTATCACAAAATAATTAATTGCACCTCGTTGTTCCAGGAGGTTATCGTGGATTTAAAAAATATGGGAATCGCAGCGCTAAGTCTTTGGACGCCGGCGATGGCGAAAAAAGTCGTTACGTCCTTTGAGAAGGCTTTGCCTGTTCGCCTAAAGAACATTCACATATTGAATCCACCACCGGGCCTTGAGACAGTATTAAATTTTGTCAAAGCATTTATGAGCGAAAAGTTGCAGAGAAGGGTGGGTCTTGTCTTTCTCATGATATATTTAGTATTTTACTTAATTAATGTTTACTTCGCGTATAAGTTACTGATCTCTCCATGGTTCAGTGGTTAAACGTATTTAATTAGGCATCATTTTAGCTAGGTAAGACATTTTTTTTGATAGAGATAGATGCGTTGTCGACCTTTGACTTTCGATATTCGTAAATCCACAGACTGAAACCGAAACGTGATTAAACTTCACGGCTTTTTCATCTGTGGACGGTGGTTTGTGACCCGGGCGGAATTTCTATATTCCTACCACCCATGTAATATCCAGGTTTCCAGACGAAGTGCAATATGTTTCAGAAAAAAATAAATTGGAAATTTGATACATGTTGGACGGGTGGGGATCGAATCCACGACCCATTCTTTATTAGCCGTACATTACGAGGCCGTCAGTCATAGAACTGTAATCAACCCTTAATATAGGGAGGCTAGATTTCCCTTAAACTTCTTCCACCATTCCAGATTTTCGTGTACGGGCAGAATTTGCAGCTATTTCATGAGCAGTTTCCTCAAGAATATTTACCGAAAGAGTACGGAGGAAGTAACGGCACTCTTCAGGATCTAACAGGTGATCAAATTGTACCAAATCTTAAATTTTACTTAAGTAGCATTTTCACATTAGATAATTTTCTTTTACAGATTACTGGAAAGCTAGAGTGGAAAGCAACCGGGACTGGTTTCTCGCAGAAGAAAAAGCCCGATCAGACGAGTCTCGCAGACCTGAACAACCAAAAACAACCAGTTCACTATTTGGTGTGGAGGGCTCTTTTAGAAAACTAGATGTGGATTAAAAATATACATAATGTTAAGCTACTTATATGTAATATTAAACAGAGAATTATTGTTCATACTGGTACCAATAAAAGTAATAATCATATAGGTATGATGGTATTATATGGAACGCACCATTTATATATATTTTTTTGATACGGAGATGGTTTTCTATATTTTTTTTTAATTTTTAAGCATTGTTCAAACTTAACGGAGAAACATTTATTATACTCATTTTTATATTTTATTTCATGGGCACAAAACTATGTATTAAATATTACTTAATCATTGCTATGTTGTTTTTTTTATAACGTTACACAATGTGAACATACCTACCCTTTCTCTTGCGTTTATCTTAAACATGTAGAATAACATAAAAGATATTACAAATTATTGCCTTAAGACAGACGAGATGCCAAATGAAATGTGTTTCAAAATTTCTTATCTCCATTATCACTTTAAAACACAATCGTGATACATTTCGCATCAAAGATACACACTTGACGTGTGACGTATGCCCACTATCATACGGCAAGGGGCGCGGGCGCCGAATAGCATTCAGTTGTGTTCGGCTGTCAACGCGGCCGCGCGTTACTAGTGCGTGTTACTAAAATTAATTTGTTTTGATATGAACGGGCTTTCTCTACGCGTTCGGTGTGTGTGCAATACCTAAATGCACGTCGCCATGTCAAATGAGAACATTAACCGGCTGGTCTCACACGACCTTCCGTCATCTGGTAACGTCTCGGACAGTGACGAAGTGGAATTCAGAAAGAACAGAAACACAGTGAAACAAATGATTCTCCGCTTCGAAAGAACGGGCATACATCTTGGTGCATCGAGTGAATCTTTGGAGAGACTTAGAGATCCAATGTTTGGTAGTTTTAGTAGTGTCGTTAATCCTTTGCAATCGCACTTCCAGCATTTGTGCCCAGTGAAACCGTCTCACGATAGAAATTCGAATGTATCAGTGAATTCTATATTGTCTAACGTTTCGGAAATAAGTTATGAATCTAGTTCTTCCGGATTCGTTTCGGATCGAAAATCATCGTCTTTGAAACCTCATAGACCAGCACCGCCCCCGCCACCGCCTGCGCCGTTTAATGACAGTCCTACGATAGAAAGTAAGTCCCCTGCCCCTGAAGAAAGCAATCCAGTAAAAGAAAGGCGGTACTCTTACGCTACGCCGTCCACCTCACCGATCGTGCAGCGACGGTCGCGCCAACCGCCAGTTATTCGAAGAAAATCTTCCCTTTCTGGGCAAAACCACACCGGGGAGACATTATGGTCATATGGTGTCAGGCAGAGTGATTTAGAGAAATTACTAAGACTGAAGCTATCGGAATCTTCGGATAATGAAGAACTAGAAAAGCCTAATCTTATTGAAACGTCATCTAGTGGTAGTAGTAGCAGTGGCGATTCTAACGATAGTGATAAAATGAAAGAAGGAGATGAGTACGTGGTCAATAATGACGAATGTAAAGCAGATACAATATCGACGGACCAGTCGACGGATACATTAATTAACGATTATGAAAGTGACGAGGCGGACAATTTATCCGTTGCATCTGCGGACCCTAGTAACTACGATAATGTTAGCATAAAATCCATATCGTCGTTCGACATGGTTCCTTACCAAAAGTATGACAGTATTACGGTGTCATCAGACGAGTTCGGCTCCGAGGTGTGCCACGCTCCGGACACAGAGTTTCTCACAGTGAGTGCAGTTAACGAGTGGTGCGTTTCAAAGTCCATAGAACCGGTATTGATGCCTGTGGAATCGAAAAAGGAGAAATATCGCAGGTGAGCTTTAAAATTTTATTGATGATAACATTTTCCAATATACTCGAGCGATTGTTGCGTACATGATGCCGATAGGTATGCGAGTATCTGATAATTTATCGTTTTACCAATGAAACGTTGATAACATGATTAGCGTGTCTTTGTTCTATTTCTTGAACATATCTGGGTGTTATGTCCTGATAGGAATGTATCGAGCCAAATCAATACATGCAATTATTATTTGTTTAAAATCTACATTCCATATGATACAGAAGGCTGTGTCAACATAATTCAATGGTATTAGTAATTGTTGACGGACACAATACATATGAGCAATATTATTGCACACAAACAAACAGTGGTCGCGACTCGCGCTATGAGGTTTCACCTTGATGTTTATTCATACGGTCCGAGGTAGGCAGGTAGTTATCATACTTTGTCTAATATAGATTAATACGTTTGGCTGTTTACAGCATACACTCGTTTGCGAATTAAAATTATGTAACACAACAATGCTCAATTTCTAATATGATTGTTTTTACAATAACTACATACTACCTCATCCTTATTGTAACGTGTGTAATTTATCATTCTATATATGGCACAGTATAGTCTTTACCTCCGTTTTTACATATCTAACAGCATACTTCACTTAATAGATATCAGAATAATATGCTATCATAGAAAATTCTTGCATTATAGGTATATTGAGATAACAATGTAATTGGTAGGTAGGTACATTGACCTGAAATAAAAGTAAACGAAGAGAAATTGTTGAGTTATACATTGGTATGTCTACTCGATACTTAATAAATGAATACACAAATTGGCACAATGGTGTAGCGATGGCCAGCTCTACAATAATCCAGAAAAGTCCCGAAAAGAAATTCAACATACCCATTTGACTTTTACTATTAACACACTTTTAATGGCTTACAACAGAAAAATAACACTTAAATTTTATTGTAAAGTTATAGTCAGCATACTCTTTTATTAAATGTGTGCAGCTCGTTTAATCTACAGATAATATTTAAATAATTGTTGTCGGTCAGAGCAGTCTATCTAATCACCTATTTACTTGTAAATCCATCGGCAACGCGGACACAGAAATATGTCCGCTCCATGCCCGACGATGTGGAAACGGGATTTCACTTTTTTAACGTCACATCTCGTAATAAACACTAGTCATGTGTGAATGAAATGTGTTCGATCACTCGCTTTTCTTTTTAGATTTCACTCGTCTCTTTACACTTCACACGTAATTGACGATTATTGTTTTGGCTTTTGTACAAAACGGTGACTGCTTACCTGTGAACATGAACTATGGAGATTTTAGGCTGAAGCAGGACATTTCTGTGTCGCTAATCGATGTTTATTAAAAGACAAGTACCAAGTTGATTGGAATTCTGTGCTCTGTTTGACCTAAACTATATTTTTGTAATATTTATTTAAAGGGCATTAACCTTTAATAGGTTATGCCATCCCTTTGAACTTGAAAATTATATCAATAATATGAAATTGTTAAAGTTATTATTACACTAAAACCATCTACAATAAAAAACAAATAAAAAAACGATCACCGATATATATAGCGAACGATGCGTTTTTTGCTTAATTTAATAATCAAAACTAAGATCCAAAACTAGACCACTGTTTTTAATTTATTATGCTCTTCATAATATCTATTTTAGCAAGAGCGTGGGCGCCGTGTATGCCAAGGTTAAATACCAAACGAATTTAAAGAGACTGCCGATAATAATTATCGTAATGTATTTCGTAATCTTGAGACTACCTTAATCCAAAATTAATAATTTATTTTCAGTCGGTTGGGTAGGGCATTACGGTCTGATCCCTGTGTCCGCTCCCTGCCAGCTTATAACCTTAAAGCAATCCAAATCCTCATTTTATCCAGAAACTAGCGGTGCCAGCGACTTTGTTCAGGCAGAAATTATTTTGAGCGTCAAAATCTATTTTTGCAAACTTCTCATCTTTATAAATTAAAACTGGTACCCGTACGACGTCGTTCGCGTCCCGTCGTTTTTGCAAGCTAATCTTAAAAGAGACAGACCGTCGCTGACATTTTTGTAGATAATTTAAAGAGGAATCAGTCTTTCATACATATTTTTTGGGTATCTTGAACCGTTTTCACAGCGCTTGCAACGGAAACTCAAAGATGAATCATTTTCCCCGTTTCTTCCACTTGCTTTCCCCTATTTGTTGCAGTGTGATATTATATAGCCTAAAGGCGTTTGCGATAAATTCTCTAACCAACACAAAAATGATTTTTCAATTGGAACCATTCGTTTCTGAGATTAACGCGTTCAAACAAACAAACAAACTCTTCAGCTTTATAATATTAGTACAGATTTTACCCAGAAATAACCTTGATTGATATATCGTTTGCAATGTATACTGAAAGTTAGCTTCGTATTTCCTCTTTGTCATAATAATATTTTGCAGGCGAATGACTGAACGCGTGAATGAGTTGCTACACACGGAAAACGTTTACGTGGAGCGCCTAAAGCACGTGGTAGATGACTACATCCCCGAAATGTCCAAGGAGGATATACCAATCACGCTTAAGGGGATGAAGGTGGACATATTTGCGAACATTGAACGAATATGTCGGTTCCACGCTGAGGAATTCCTGCCGGCGTTAAGAGACTGCGAAAATGATCTTAGGAAGCTCGGACAGTGTTTTAGGAGATTTGTAAGTTGTGTTTATTTAAGGGGTTCTGGAATTTAGATGTATGTTGAAGATCTCTGGCCTTTTTGATATAGCAGGGCAGACGCACGAGTTTACTTGATGGAAGGTAATATACCACAGCCACTTAACATCTAAACAGGATGCACTGTCGACCGAAGCGTGATAAACTTCGCGGCTTCTTCATCTGCGGAGGGTGGTTCGTGACCCGGAAGGAATGTTATTCTTACCACTTATTTAATATCCAGATTTCGAAACGAAGTTCAACATGTTTAAGAAACATTATAGATTGATCAGCAACATGTAGGACTCGGTAGGGATCGAATTGACGATCAGTTGTTTAACTAATTATTTCACATTTAAACCAATAAGATTGCGTAAACTACGCCGTTCAAATTTTATGTTATCACTTGTATATATTCTTATTATCCTTAATAATAAGAAGGAGATTTGAAAGCAATAAGACAAAGAAGTTAATTAATGCATCTTTCAACGTATAATTTTATTAACTAGCGATATAATGATTTCTACAGTAGCGCAGTAACAGCTCAAAATACCTGTTGCTAATAATAGATTAAATCAATACCACAAAAACATCGGTGTCATGGTCTAATACTGCGCGTGACTCTTTGCTTACTACATCCACACCATGCTTCCTTCATCAGCGTTTTTATTATTGATCTCTTAATTTCTACTGGCAAATTATTATTAGGACTCCATTTAAAACTAAATATGAGATGTATTGCGCTATAAGCATATCGAATTAAAGCTATCGAAGTAAGGAAATTAGACAATTTTTTAAACTTTTATATAAATTAGATACTATATTCGTTATATTATTTTATGGTATATTACCCAATTAACTTTGTAACTAACCATTTTTTTTTTGTAAAACGTACCGTTTGTTTCAGGAACAAAGGTTTAATATGTACGTGATGTACTCTAAAAACAATAAGAGGGCTACAAGACTTGTATATGAACATAAACATTTTTTCCAGGTTGGTGTTGAATATACGAATAACTTATTGATAACATAATGACTTTGTAATGTAATCGTCTGTAATCGAAAACACCCTGCCACGGTGTATTTACTCAATACACCGTGGCAGGTGCCACCCTGACTTTGTTTCAAGGACGTGAAATTAAAAAATCGTATTTAGTGGTATTTCTTCCCCTGTGGGGACATAGAAGACACGTGTCTACCCGTTTAACTAACTGAGTTCAAGAGTCACAGCACGGAACATTGTGATCGTGGATTCGAGTCCCACAAAGCTAGCATGTGCAAATAGACTTGGGCAAGAGCATCAGACATTTGTTCTTTGCTTTGTTCTTGTTCCCGGGATTTGAACCTAGGATCTTATTCACCATTTATTCATTGACCGTCGGTGTCATGAAGCATATTTGATATAAGTTAAATTAATGATAACCGAAGTGAACGTTTTGTTTTGAAGCTAGGTATGTTACATTAAGTGCACAAGACGTAGTACAATTAAAATTATAAATTTCGGTATAGTGAAAGCTCGTACGTCTGTCCCGCGCCATTTCCTTGCTAACAAACTTCTCAGTCTAGTTAGTCGGATGAAATTCTGCTCCAGTAATTTCATTCGATCGTGATCACATATCCTATTATTTATATGTTATTTGATTAATATTGCAAAAAAAATTGCTTGCGTGTTACAGAGTAAATTCATATGTATTTTTTTCTTATTATTGTTAGTAAAATAAAAGATTTAGTAAATTAATTAAATGAGTATCTAACAGAAGAAACATATAAATAATGCTTCCTTAAAAGATATTATGATTTAAATAAAAAAGTTAATAACGAGCTAAAACGCGATATATTAGTTAAAACTTACTTGAAAATGATTTTTAATTTCGGCCCGACGTTTCGGATGCTTTGCAGTAGCCGTGGTCACGGGCAGACTGAAGTTAAAAATCATTTTCAAATAAGTTTAACTAATATATCGCGTTTTAAATCGTTAAAGTGTTTTATTTAAATGTGTACTACTCGCGTAAACATAACATAACAATAGACGGTTTTTGATATTATGATTTTCAAGTTTTGTATCATCTCTTACAGCGAAGACAGTTAGAATTAGGGGATAGATTAGATCTCTCGAGTTACCTTTTAGAACCAGTGCAAAGAATACCTAGGTATAAACTGTTCCTGGACGATCTCGTTAAGACATACATTAACTACGATAACGAGAGATGCGAATCAGACTCTAGGATATCCAAACTTAGCGTGGACAGTGATGAAACGGGCGGCAGCAATGGAGAATCAGAGACTGATGAAACGCCATTAGAAAGTTTAAAATTAGCTAAAACTATGATAGAATGTGTCCTAACCGCAGTTGACGGGATAATGGCATTAGAAAATATCAGAGATTGTCCTGTAAGTATTCTATACATATCTTTAAACGTAAAAATACTTATTATAATATTTGTAATATAACAATTTACATCTATTTTTGCTTTTAAAACGCAGTTGCGTCTTTATTCCGAATCATTGAAGTAAATGTCAACATTGACAATGACAGCTTGACACAAAACAGCTTGACAGTTTATACAACACCACAGTATATACAAAATATATTTATTTTTAATACAACCCATTATCAAGTAATATTTTGATTGCTTCTCAGTTATCAGTATAAATATCATAAATGTAAAGTCCAAAAAAAGAAGTCGAGGAATTTTCGAATAGATAAGTGAGTATTCGCTGTAGATAGGTAATTCCCAGTAACGATATTGTTAAGACCAATTTTCACTGTTGGTTTATGTCATCGAATGGAGGGCTGAAAAATAATCCAATTTATTTTTATTTCAGCCCCAACTGAACCTGTTGAATCAGGGCAGATTGCTGAGACAGAGTGAATTCTATGCGATGGACAACGCGCGTCGGCGGCGACAGCTCATGAGAATCTTTCTGTTTGACAAATTGGTGCTCATTACAACTGTTTATAGGAAGGTTTGTCTTTTCTGCTAACATTTTCTATTCATTTTCGCTTGTTTGCACTTGATTTATCATTTTCTATGAGATTTATTTACGAGTATGACACTGGTAGTAAATGGAATTGTCCACTTATTTTAATTCAAATCACAGTGACGTAAATTTTATAGGAAGTACGTAGATCAGACTTTTGTTTTTTGTTCAACCTAAATTATTTCTCCGGAGTTCAAACCTTGTAACTTAACTCTGATAGAGAAGGACAGGCAAGTATAGGCCTCACTTGATGGTATGTTATATACGCCACCCTATAGCATCTAAACAAGATGCGTTGTCGACCTTTTCCTTCCAATATTCGGAAATCTACAGACTGAAACTGAATCGCGATTAAGCTGTGAGTTGTTCATGACATAGACCCATTTCATATGCATTACATTTTTCTGAAAAATTAAAAATACGTCGGACCTGGTGGGGGTCGAACCCACGACCCGTCGATTATAAGCCATACAGTGCTACCATTAGACTAATGAGTCTGGCAAAATGCAATGCATGCTAGGAAACGCGTTTATATATTGAGCTACAGCCACACACACAGCGGTAGCAGTCTTTAGGTCAACGTCCATACATTTTATAAGATTAAATGTTATGTTTACAAATTACAGTTTTACTTTGTTATGTAATTTACTCATATTGCAATGATTCACAGTACGTGATTCATAATATTTATCAGTCGCAAAAAAAATATATTATTATTAGGAGTATCAGTTTCCAACTCTCCTACTGTCAACTGATAATGAGATGTTATTATTTAAGGGGAGGTAACTGGCTAGCTGTATAATATCTCTAAATAACACTCGATTCAGATTACGCTAGAATATGGCATAGAACATTCTTAATTATATATTGGCTTACCACTGACGCGCTTCGAACTATCGTGTCAAACTGTTAATCTCCAAGGGGGGGGGGGGGTATCTTCTCTCCTACGAGAGAGTTAGAGAGTCTAACACCTACCATGCTGGTCTAGTACGAGTTGACGGGGCTTGAATAACTAAAGCCACTAGATTATTTATGGTAACTGGGATCGATATTGCGCGAAAGGTGCATGAATCAATAGTTGAAAAAAAATTCTCCCGTGACCGCGGCTGCTGCAAAGTGTCAGAAACGTCGGGTCGCCGAAATTTAACTAATATACATTGCGTTTTAAACCGGTAAAGACAGTATGTATCAATAGGTTAAAAAATCGACGTTGACCTGTAGGTTGAAACCCGTGTTGTTTTTTTTCAACTTATAATCGATTTTTAATGTAAGCTGGATCGATGACTTGCTGGCTTTTTTGAGGCATGGAAGTGATTACATATCCTACTTACAATCTCTGGATTGGTTCCTACCACATTTTGAAGTATCATTTCGCCTATCCCAGCTTGAATACAGGACTTCGTTTTGCCGTCAGTTATGTAAAAAACTATATGCTATAGTAGCGCACGCGCACTTAATCTTACTTGCAATTATCGAGAGGTCGTTCTGAAGGTCAATCCTTAAATGTGAATTTTAAGTAGTTATAAGTGGAAACATTTCTTCGTGCAACAAAGAAATATGTACAGCGTAGTATGTTACGTGAATTAAGATTACCGGAACCACGTTACACTCGAGAAGTCACGTTGTTAATATTAAAAATTAAAATTCCAACACTAATGAATTGTTGAGCATATTATCAGATCGATTTGCTATAGATTACAAATTACAATCCATATTGAAGTGCACAAATTTTTATGCTGTGTTGATTACAATTATCAATCATTCCACCCATTGTCTACCATTGCAATAAATAAAAGAGGCCTTGGGTTTGTACCCAGAGAAAATATTGGTTTAGTTAGTTGTTTATTATTATATAAGATTGGCAGGGCACAGAACTACTTCTATGTGAATGAAATCTGTGAATATTTTTTACAAATTGGCACTATATAAATTAAAAATCGATTATGTATTGAAAAAAATTACGACTGGGCAGGACTTGAACCGGCATATTTGGTTAGAGCAACAGCACAGAACGATGTGGATGCCGGTTTAATTGATAATCCATTAGTACTTATTTACATAAAACACTTTAACGGTTTTTAACGCGATATATTTATTAAACTTATTTGAAAATTATTTTTAACTTCGGCTCGACGTTTCGATTGCTTTGCAGCAGCTTTGCTTTGCTTCTTCAGGGCTGCTGCAAAGTAACTCATAAGTTTAACTAAAATATTTCGCGTTTTAAACCATTAAAATGTTTTATTTAAATTAAATTTATCAATTAAACGGCCACTGAAATGGCCGTCTGCATCGTGTTAAAATGATTTGAGATTATTCAAGGCTTTAATTCATAGAAATGAAATTGCTCTTTAAGCAGACTCCCACTTAACATAGCGTATAATGAAATAGTGGGCAGATATTACAAAAATAGTTTATTACATCGACGCGCCTCACTGGCGTCGGAAGCTGATTTCGTAGATAGAGAAATTGTTAGTGTTCCTACTCGCTTTAATCTAGTTTCTTAGTAAAAAGTCAGTTAAACAATACAACTTACATATACTTATAAATGTATGAGAAACTTGTATTGAATTGTTTGTAGCCATCATTATCATACAGCTGATAGGGTAAACACCGTAAACATATAGACTAACTACCACGCTTGCTAAATACTTGTAGGCAGATTAAAGATAAGATTTGTTGTCCCTAAATCACGCGATAAAGAAAAGAATTATTAATATTTTTGGTACAAGATGGAGGATCGAAATCATTGCTTCGTCAAAGTTTATTATTGTTAGGACAATTAAAATTAATTCTGAATTATTTTAAGTCCAACTATAAAAGCTTATAAAGTCGAAACACCAACCAGGTTCTAAAAAAGAAATTAAGCAATATGCTTTACTATTATATTTAAGATGTCATTGTTTTTGAAACATATACTCTAATTTCCAGCAATTGACTGTCGAGTTCTTCATATACAAAGATCACATTCCGGTCGATGATCTCGGTATAACGGCGAAAGAACACGACCAGTACAAATTCAGTATTTGGTACAAAAAGAGGAATCTCAAGTCATACAAGCTAGAGACACGAGACCCAGTGGTTCGGAACGGTTGGGTTGAAGAGATCACGTCACTGCTATGGGAACAGGCGATGCAGAAAAAAGGTATTTATCAGCACACACTCTAGAATTTTCTCCTATCACATTGCAGGACGAAATTGTTAAAAAATACTATACCCATAAGTATTGGTTATTTATTATTTATAAAACACACCACAGAAAATATATATTAATGAGGAAAAAAATCTTACGTACTAACTTTTTATAAAACATTGTGTTCAAATACATATTGTATTTAGTGTTACTATACGTTAATGATGATGAAGATATATAAATAGTTCGAAAATGACGGTACTTTAATGTATTTCTCGCATAAATAAAATATCGCAGTAGTGTAAAAACGATAAAACCAATGTTTACACAATCTTAACAGTATCCAAGCGTATTAGTCATGAATTTAAAACAATAGATGTTACGTACGTAAATAAACTGTACAATAATGTTTATTTACGTAATTCAGTTATTCGCTTGCCAATTCGAAAACTAATAAACATCGACGAGATCTTGACTTGGTCATGGAAAATCTTATACATATTAATAACACTAAGACATTAAAATGAAACAGTTTTGACGACTGACATGAGACTGTCCGTAATCTCAAAGAGATGATGATGTGAATGATGGAGTGGCGTTTTAAACTGTCTGAAATGTGAAAAGAAATGTGTTGCGTAAATCATACATATTGTCTATGGTTTACGCGAGTAGTCCACGCCAAGACTTGACTTGACATCAAGACGAACAGTAGGATGGTAGAAAATGGTCTATCGTATTTTGACCGCAAAATTGTTCGACATATAATTAATTACCTACCAAAAATACTATGAAAGCTAATGACTTAAATAATTAACTTGTAATTTACTGTAGCGTTGTAGAACTGGGTCATAACCCAAATAATCTATTACTTATACACTTTTTGCATTATATGATTGCAGTAATTCAAGATAAACGCTCGAATAATAAATTGAAACTGTTATAAGAATGTATTAAATAATTAATAGCGTTCGAATTTCTTGTTTGAAATTATTCGAATCAATTGTCTTAGTTGAATGTAATGATTTTCTGCGAAAAATTAAAAGCGGGTCGTTCGAATAAAAATTAATATTGCTAACAAGGACAACTCACGTAGTTGCCGCGAATATAAATGAAGTTATTGTATTGGCAGCGATTTATTGCCATAGTAATGCGTAGTAAATTTTACAATTATGCTAGGAATGTACGAACGCATGGTAAACTACTTTCTCTGGAGTTATTTTAACTTTTACTTGAATTTCCTCTTGACCGCCTCTGCAGCTAATATTAAAGTTTCATTGCGTTAAGCATGAGAGGTTTAAATCCTAGCGAAATAAAAAATTGTTTCGAACGAGCAGGGCACAGAAGTCTGATCAACAACTTGCCTGTAAAAGAAACCGATCAGCAAAACGGTCAGAAATGTGTTCGCTCCATGCTCCACGAGAGGAACGGGGTTTCATTTGAATTGACACCTATAACTAATGCTATCAATACAGTAGTCAATGACTTAGTGGAAAATTTGAAGTTAGAGAAAAATATTTGTCTATATTGTCAAACATTTTTACATATTGAATAATATCTCTCTCTCTCTAAGCGCGTCTCTAAGCGACGGCGACCAGAGACGTGTATGTACAGATAGAGTATACGAAAAATATACTAGCGATTACTTCATAAATCTATGGATGTATAATTAATTAATTACGTCTTATTGTTGAAATAAAAAGACCGCTTTTATGAAGGTGAAGATTATTACACTCGACCACGGGCCATTGTCATCTCTGAATAAAAGGCTATCGCGTGATATTTATTTGGATTTCATTTTACATCCACTGATTCGCTAACCGCAATACGCGATTTATTTGCTGAATTATTATTAACGATGTTAATTTTACGCCTCAATAGCGACGTACTATTTGGCGTGAGGTACATTATAAATCAAATTTTAAGTAAGTTTTCTCAATGCAAAATTAAATATGTTGGTTGAACGCTGTTTTTTCAATCAAATATGGCTCACGCCAATATTAAACATAAAGAATTTTAACGGATGTAAACACGATGTAGTGTAAAGAGCGAAACACTTTAACTGTTTAAAACGCGATGTATATTGGTTTCACTTATTTGAAAATTATTTTAATTACGTCCCGACGTTTCGGACTGCCGTCGCACGACAGCAAAGCATCCGATTCGTAGGGCCGTAGGTAAAATAGTTTCCAAGTATGTTTAACTAATATACATCGCGTTTTAAACTGTTAAAGTAAACGTTTTAAATTTTAAAAGATAACTTTGATTATAGATCAAAAGAAGTACTAGAATGACCCAAACTGTATATCAAGTCTTTGGTATACAGTTGACCAATATTTCTTTGTATCAGTACAGATATACCAATTAAGTGTACGAGTCAAAGAATGTTCTGTGGTCCATCTGGCGCCCTGATATAGTTAATGCGAGCAAACTTTTTAATTGATCGTCATCTGCTCCCGTCTTTGTACGTGAGGAAAGGGACCTTATCTGCTGACGCATGCGCGGTCGTTGACTGTGTTTTATTGGTCAGGAGACTAGCATGTGCACTTGCGTATGCGCTTGTGGGAACGGCAGGAAGTTACTTAGGTCATTTTTTACGATTGCTTTTTTTAACTGTCAGTTATATTTGCAACGGGATGTGTAGCTTGCGTAAGAGAAAAGTTATATGCTTATATTTAAAATAACTTAATGATTGATTGGTAAAAATACTTTACTTCATGCATGTAGCCGTGAACTGAAAGCGTGTTTGTCACTTTTGGATCCGAATACACAAAAGGTCGACAGCAGCAGACATTTTTCTTAGATGTTTTATAGCTAGGTTATTTCAATTACCATCAAGCTGACCCCATGCTTGTCTGGCCCCCTCTATAATAAAAAATACATTTACAATTCATGCATATGCAGGTTCAAACAATTACATGACTGCGATATAATTATGTAGATTTTAAAATTTCAAATCAATATTTAACTCAATTCGGTACGATTTTCATGAATATCTTTATCTAAAGGTTTTTGTTTATAAATTCTAAATAACCACGTCCATAGAACACCTGGATTCGAATCCCAGACGTACAATAAGATCGTAGGTATGTTAAATAATAAAAAATATATATTTTAGCTAAAAGATACGGCGTCTATAAATAAACCTGACGAGTAAAACCACAGAATTGTGTCCGTAATATGCTCCACATGGGAGGAATGAGATTTATCATAATTTTTAAGACTTGTTTAATACTGACATTATATAATTCAACGCATAGCTCAAGTCGATATCAAATTTCTTCGCTAACCGATTCGCTACAAATTCAATTTTGAAAAACAATAGCCTTTTGTCCGGTTTGAAATACGTCGGTGCCAGAGGAAATATGTCACCGATTATGACTCATAAAACTTGTATATTGCGAATAACGTATCTAATCGTGGTTGTAATGCGATTACAACGCGCTTTCGAATGAAAAACTGACAGATATTTGGTTATATTGTTAGAAGGGGTTCACTTTTACTTATTAACTAGCTGTGGCTGCGACTTTGCTCACGTGGAATTTATTTAGGACATCAAAATTTATTTTTTTGCAGAGAACCTTCTCAGCTTTACAAATTATAGATGCCATTTATTACCCACTGTGTCGCTCGCGTCTCGTCTTTTCTTTGCAAGTTAATCTTAAAACATAGACATAATATAAGTACTGTCGCTGACATTTAGATCATCTAAATAAAAATCATTAGGTCATTTTTTAACCGTTTTCGCAGCACAAGCAATGAACGCTCAAACATAAATTATTTTTGTATTTTTTTTTACATTTCTCCCTCTCCTGTGTTCTTTTCTTACAAGTCCCTGAGATCAAACGTTCAAACAAACAACGTCCTCAGCTTTATTATAGTAGCGTGGATTATGTTTAGTTCTTAAGAAGGTTATTAGCGGCCCATGCGACCGCCGATGTTAACTAACTAAATACTAAAGGCGTCGCCATTAGTCGGCCATTTTGAATACAATTGACAATAATTAGTTATTATACAATTATATCTCTGGTGTCTTTTAATTATATAAACAAGTATAACGTTTGTTTTGGCGTTTTAAGTTTCAAATTCATAGGAATGATTGTGTTAAATTACAGTTTGTAAACAGCGCATTGATTTCCGCTATTATTAGATTTCGACGTGAGAAAATTATAATATTGACATAAGCGATAGAACAATCGATATTTTGGAATGCCTTGGCTGACTAAATAATATAGATTTTCTTTACAACAATAATAATAATAATTTTAATAAGTTACGCGTTTCAATCCGCTAAAAGTGTATTATTTACTTTTTTATTCAGTTTTTTAAAATGCAGAGTATTGATTTCACCTTCGATAGTATGGTTATTAGAAAAGATCATAATTGTTAAGATACATAAAAGGACATTTTTGTATTAAAATACATTTTTATCCACTTCTTCTGGAAATCGATATTTTAAGACAAATTAGTTTTCGTTATCTTTATGTTATGTATGTTACTAATGTCTTATTCTTTTATATTTGTTATTTAATAATAAGCGCGAAACATTTGCTACTGCATCATGCACGCGTGCATGTATTTATTCAAATAAGCAAGTAAAACTATTCTTAGCAGATTATGGCCCTTCGAAGAACATTATCGCGTTTTATCAGGTTCGCCGTTATCAAATATATTTAATCAGGTGTGACCTCGGCTTGATATTTGCTTCTAGGCCGCTTACATTACTTAACTCTTCAATTCGATAGTAGCTATAAATAAAACACTAGTGCAGGTAGCGTTTTTGTCTGTCTGAACATTTATATATCCATCATAACGTTCCATATTAGAGAAATTTTCATAAAAAACTAACGTGAAAGAAACTTTATATCTTTTAAATTAAACGGGGAGTCAGTCTCCCCGTGACCACGGCTGCTGCAAAGCATCCGAAACGTCGAGCCGAAGTTAAAAATCATTTTCAAATAAGTTTAACTAATATATCGCGTTTTAAACCGTTAAAGTGTTTTATTTAAACTACTCGCAAAAACTATAGATAGTATTTAACGTAATATCTGTTCATATGTTTGGGTATGTTTGTTCACTCTCTAGAGATGTATGAAGTGATTAGTGAATTTCCTTTGGTACACAATAGATAAAAAAAATTAAGATGTCATTTAGAAGTCCAATTCTAAATGTAACTTTTTCTACGCGATTTTTTCAACACAATACATATTAAACGAGATAGTTAAACCATTGAGTATTGCGTGCCTAAATGTAAATCCTAATCCTGCGTAGACGAAGTCGCGGGCACCAGCTAGTAAAAAATAAATTATTCAACATACCCTATATTACCCATATTACTACAAATATTTGAAATCTTACACAACGCGTTATGCTAACTTCGGTAAAGTAAAAATTACTAAACTTGGTTGCATAAATTTTACAGAACTCTTGCTGCAGCAGCGCAAGAAGAGAATATCTACGATATCTATGGATAGTCAGGAATCCACCGAAACGGATGGGAAGGATGATAAATGTGAGTAGATAAGAATAAAGCTAATAAGTATAATATTAGGCTCTTTTCAGACTACGCTTTAATATAATAGCTTATAGCTAGCAATATATTATACAGTTAAATATAAAATTATGCTACGAGCTATGCTATTATATAATAATGTAGTCTGAAGATGGTTATATGGTTGTATATCACAGATGAAGCTAACATATTAATTAAGCACAGTATCTCTCCTCCAGGTCTGATAAATGGTTTCGTTTACGTCAAACTGCACTCATGAGTTTCTTTGTAGGTCAGTAGATCGGTCACAAATTTGGTTATTCTATCTTTTGGGTCTATGGTTTCTTCATGGAAGAGGTTTCTTCTTTTTGCAACTAATTTGGTTCACAATCTGTTTTACTTTTGTAGGGGACAGCAATTTTAACATAATCAAATGTTTCTATAACTTATGACTAATGCTGGTATTTGTGGTGGTTGGGTATTACCCGATTGGTTTTATTCGTGTCGGGTCCAGCATGTCTTTAGTTTAAACTTAGAATTTTTCTAAACATGCTGGTTCTAACTACGTATACTACATTTTTTAATGATTCAAGTCTATGGTTTCCAAGAAATAGGGTAGGAGCGCATTCTATTTGGGTTTTAAAAGGCTAAGGCACTGTTTTCCATTAACATCATGTTTGTCCGTCCTCTTTGTAATAATGATGCCTATTTGAGTCTAGTTTATCTGAACAAAACAATGTATATTCGATAATATGAAACAATTGTTCTTTCATTTCAGACAATTCTCTCCGAGGCGTGCCTGGTGAAGTCCGCTGCTCGGGAGACAAGAAAGTTCGAAGAACGACCTGGTATTGCGAATGAGGTCGGGCACTTGATGCAACTGAATTGTTACTAAGCGTCAAGAAATATCGTTACAAAATAACATAAATCTTTCAGAATGTCATGCACGCTGATATTTTTAGCTCGCGAAGTGTATTCCGAGAAGCGTTACAGGAATTTATATTACCTGTAGCTACTAAATATTTCCAAAGATTATTATATATTTATGCGGATGTCGTGAAATATCTTGAACCAAATGTAAAAAGCGTAAAGCTGTGTTCGAGTCATGTATTATTTCGTTGACAGATTACTTTTAAAGTATAAATACCTAGATGTTAGATAGCTAATTTACTATATTAATATTGTGATACATGTGTTTAAGTTAGTATATTTAAAATTGTCACATCAGTCATTATTTTATTAGTTATTTTAACATTTAAGGAAATGTATTAAATTTTAAAATCGCAATGTTAACATTATAAAATATAATAAAGTCATTTAGTTTCTTATGACGTTTTTTATTCATAAATCATAGTGAAGATGAAAATCTCAAATACCTCTTATTTACTTAGTTGCCGATATTTTTTTTTATAAATCGACACTATTGTAAAGGATATTAGGTCTCAAATAAAAAGAAAGGAACAAGGTTCTCGGATCAGTCGAATGGGAGAAATTCTCTTTTTAGTTTTACTTTAAAACCGGCTGCTCTCTCTCACGACCATTCAATACAGTAGGCAGATGACGTCATACGTGTAGGAATTTCAGCTAGAGACCATTGTGTGACAATATGTTTTTGTTTTTTTTTTTATATTTTTTACGATAAACCTTTTTAAATACTGTAGTTACGCGAGTAGTACACATTTAAATAAAATACTTTAAGGGTTTAAAACGCGATATATTAGTTAAACTTATTTGATTTGTTAGCCGTGACTACGGCCGTTGCAAAGCATCCGAAACGTCGGGCCGAAGTTAAAAATCATTTTCAAATAAGTTTAACTAATATATCGCGTTTTAAACCGTTAAAGTGTTTTATTTAAATATAAACCTTTTTGTAAATTTATTTATGAAAAATAAAAGTAACAAAAAACATCTAGAATTACATAGTAATTATCGAAATTAAAGCATTAATCGTAGTTAAGTGACAGTATATACCACCGTGAGTGATATACATTAATAAAACATGATTTAAACAGTTTAAAAGTGCAACTAATTGTCTAATCACGGTCTTAATGATTTTTATATAATTTCAACCATGATTACGGCCAAAAGTGTTTAACGTAATTGACTACTTATATATTTATGCTTCAAGAGTGCTCAATTAAATTTACTATATTGTACCGTTCTCTAATTAACGGGTGAAGATGCAAATTCAGTGTACGTTTTTGTTTTAATGCTGGCAATTAAGTAATGGAACTATATACTTTGATCGGGTATAAAGGTGATAACAGAAGAATGGAAACAAGTAAACTCAGCAACTTTCGGTCACGAAATATTTAACGCTTGCTTTAGCACTATCCCATGAATAATTTTTGTCCACGTAATTCGTTTCACGGTCAAATTTGCTTTCACATTCTTTTTATAGATATAAACAAGAATTTATCGATAACTACGAGAGTTTAATATTAGTTTTGCCTAGTAAGTAATTACAAAAGACAACGCAAAATTTTCAGAAATACTAATAACACAAATTAAATAATAATAACAGGTCACCACGCTGTTTCATATGGGTTTGGGCAACACATTTAGTGCGAAAGGAATTAGTAACAAAAACTTGACGATATAAGGTGTAGCGGCGAGTTGCTTGCTAGTAGGTACTCCACGTTTGTTTTACGCTCTTAATTTGAGAACTAGCAGTAAATGTATATGTAGAGTGTATTGTTTATTGTATTCATGTTGTACCTACTTACATAAATAACTCATTTTTTATTTGATTTTATTTAACGACTCCGGTCACTAAAAGAGTCTATAACTGGGGCTGTCTGTTTTACGTTCTCTCTAAGACATAATTATGGAGATAGGAATTTCTTTATGGAAATTTACCCAAGTAACATTTAGTTTGATCCAGGGTTTAAACCCTTGTGATATCCAGTCAAGTGTACATTACATTAGACCAACGAGGCAGTTTGTAATTGTAAATGTTTTTGAGGACTAGGTGATGTTTACTTTAAGTAGTAAAAAATAAAACGGCTTAAAGAAACACGTCTGTGAAAATCTGCAATGCGAAAAATTATAGCCTAAGGGGCAAAGTGAAGTGGAATATTCCACCTGAAGGCTACATTTTATTGCCTCGCTCTGTTTTCGAACAATTGCATTAATAGTGTATCAAAGGCGCTTCACGGCTTCTTTACGGCTACGGCGATGTCGGAATACAATTTTCGTTTTAATAAGTAACAAGATATTTAATATTGGAGATCCTATTTTATGTAAAGCTAGGCTGCACTAGGTCACTGGACCTCTTCCTGGCATAAAGTTATAACTAATAATAGCAGGATAACAGATGTTTTAACCGTTGTGTTAACTAACTACGGTAGGTACTATATTTTTAAATAGCTTGAAACGTGAACTGTATGAAATTATTGCATGATGCATTTTTAACATTGGGTTCAATTTTAATTAACTCGTTAATACAATTCTCGTTTCAATCTGTTTAATTTTTTTTAAATTATGAATTCAGCAGTTATGGACATCAACAGTTGGGCCCGGACCCCCAACCCATTTTTTTCTCTTGTTGCTGACAACGACGCTTATGCAGATTTGGAGATATATTAATATTTATGAGGCACTATTATTTTAAGTCGTAAAAAGGTTCACGGAAGTGTGAAACAGATGATTGAGATAAAGTTTTCTGGCATATTTTTGTCTATGATTTAATTAAGAATTACATAATATCTATACATAAATTTATCTAAATCTAATTTGGAGCTAGATGTTTGACTCTAGAATGTACATAAGCTGACGTTCTATTTCTATGTAGATTTGTATCTTATTCGCTTGGTCTAGACGACATTTTGTATACAAAGACAGAACGATGTCCCAGTTTCAGTGGATGCGGAGCTTTACGGCGCTATTTCTCTGAGCCCGAGTTATTTCGTCAGGAGTTCTTCGGAGGCGTCTTTAACACTCCCTTGAGGGTTCATTTATATATTCGCAACACGGAGGCAGCAATAAAACTGCGTTATCCTGGTCATTATTTAGTCATCACCCGGCCGCTCCTACTCCAGTAAAATAAAATGCAACTGAATGACTTTTACACCCGCTGTGCAGTACATAACGTTATTTATTTATGGTATTGCTGTGTACTGTAAGTTTGTATATTATGAAACATATATTAAACTAGTCGTCATTATTTATAGCTAAAGATACGAAAAAATCATTGAAAAAAAAAACTTAACAAAAAGCCCCCGGGATTAAACAGAAAGGAGCAAATCAATTTATACACACGTAACAGCTTTATCGTATAAGTAGTAAATAATACTTAATATATCATGGCCTAACCAGCATTGCACCAGCATCGTAACTATAACTCAACGTGGCTCCTTGTTTTTTATTCAGTCTAAATATATTTTAAATTTATATATTGGCATGATGTGCAATGTGAATAATTAAGTTTTTAGATATTTATGGTAGCTTTTTCAACCATCACTTTGGATGATTGTCGTGACACAAATAGTTCGGTTAAGGCGTAAGTGTTAAGAGTCTAATCAAGTCTAATTAATAAAAATGAATGAAACAGGCGTATTAATGTCTCTACTCAATTAGATTTAGAATACGCTGTCTTATAAATAAATAGGCAAAATTATACGCATATATTATTTTGAAACGAGAAAATTAAATTGTATTGGCGCTTAAAGTCTTTAATTAGTACGAGATAAAACGCCATATTGATAGTACATCTTATAATTTATAGTGTGAATTCTGTCGAGAAAAGCTAGTAAGGCCGCCGGTCAAGCCAGGTTACGAGCCAGCCATTTTATGAGGCTGCCCCGGGCGCTGCTAAATCTCCTTATTTATCCGGGAAAACATAAACCGTAGTCACAGCAAAAATTAATTGGCTTCCACGCTTTCTTGTCTCACATTAGGGCTTGCTACTTTATTGTTTCAGTTGCCCAATTGAGCTTGCCATTGATAATAATAGTGCTTTTACGGTATTTGTTTAGTACTTTTTTATTAGTCGGGTTTATGTTTACTCTTTTCAGATATTGTCATAAATGTTTCTTGAGAATTAAGTCTCTACCTCGACTCCATTCGGCGTGAGCGATAAAAGCTTAAAGTGGATTATTATGTTCAAATAAGTCTTAAAAACATACCAAAGAAATAAGATATTCAATTTGTTCAAATATTTTTGTATGTTTGTATGTAACCGATAAACTCAAAAAGTACTTGACCGATTTTAATAATTTTTTTTTCATTAGAAAGCTACATTATCACTGGGTAACATAAGTGTTAGTACTAAATGACTATGATATCTTTAGAAAATTCTATGAAAACCAACGGGAAGTGTAAAGAAATAGCCATAAAATATTTCATCGCATACGCTGCGAAAAGTATTTATTGATGTTCGACAATATTCTATAATATATCAATATCGACAAAAAACATCGGATATCTAACTATTGTAGTTACGTCACTGTAACTACTTTTTTACATTAAACAAATTGATAGAAATGCCGAACAAAAAAGACCCGTATCCATACCATTTACAATTTTTATTCAAATAAATTCAAGACTGTCTCAATATCTGATGATTACATTTTTTAATAATTGAAATCGGATATTCCATTCAAAATATATCATGAAATTAAAATAAAAATAAATGCTGGCGGGACGCCAGCCGCGAATCGAGTAACTAACTCTACGAGGGAGGGGCAGTGGGCTCCTTACGCAGTGGACGCGAGTAACATTGAATATTTCGGGTTTTTTTTTAACATTTCTATGCTTCACTTATCAGAGCTACTTAGTTTTAGTAATAACACTTTGCATAATGTTTGTCAAAGTTCGTTTCAGAACTATCGCTTTGACTTGAATATTTTCTTTTGTATTAT